GATAAGTCTACCATAATTATTCTTAGATTATTTTTTTCTATCTCCCCATAAATGATTGCACAAACAACTTACCGATAAGGTTATCAATCCGCATTTGGCTAAATATATATGCTTATTTTTTTCTTAAAATTAATGAAGTAATTTAGCTAATTTTATTAAGTTATAATCCATGTTTTTTTTTTTGGTTTTGGCATGCGTCTAAACCATACAAAAAATAGATTGAACTAAAGATGAGCTTTTCCCAACACAAGGCCTTGGGTCACGTGAAGATGGACACGGGTTATCACAAGAAGACCTCTCGATGATCATAAAAATATAAGTATTCAAAAGTAAAGTTGCCACTTAGTTTTTTAAAAGATAAAAACTAAGAAATATCTAATACCGATTCTAAGAGTTCTAGTTCAAGGGGTTGCTTACATAACTAGAGAAAATTGTAGTCACTCTTGCAATTAGGTTACCTTGTATTTCTAGCTCGTAAGAATTCATTTATACAAGCTCATTTTATATCTAATTATCTATTTTGATTTAAGAGTTTGATTATAGGATCTTTTCTAACAATATTAAATAAGATAATTTGAAGACTAAAAGTGGATTCTGTCTCTCACCTAACTTATCATTGAGCCATTGAAGTTTACTTGAAAAGGTAGAAGTTGAGGTTTAAAGCCCATTAACAAATTAAGCAACCCAAACTCCAAATAAAAGATATATATAAAACATTGCTCCAAGTTCACTTGCCAAACTATGCAATGAAAATTACAAGTTCAAGATAAAAAAAAAAATTAAAATATGGACATGGACCTTGAGTCCATATTAATCTATTATGCTACTTTGAAATAATAAAATTAGACCCAATATCAAATTTAGAGCTAGATCTACAAGTAGGAAAAATTAGTTGCATTGAAAAAATAAAATAAAATAAGCAAAAATAATAATGAGAACAACAAAAACATAATAATAACAATAAAAGTTTCTTCATTGGAATAAAATTGATCTCATGTCCTAAATCTAACCATCTAGATTGATCTAAACTAACACCACATCAAATAAACACATAAAGTTCAAAATATAATTAAATTAGACATGCGAGAACCATAAATCATGTAAAGAAAGCTTTATAGAAAATAAAATAGCCAATTGACCTTCACAAGTTAATTGGCCTTTGATTTGTGATGGCTTATTTAATTTAATTTTTTTCCATAAAAAATATGCTAGTCTATTAATAATTTTATCATTAATCAAAAGTTTCTCAAGGAATTTTTATTTGAAAAATAAAAATAAAATCATATAGTATGTCAATCACCTTTAACCTCGGTTTAAAAAATAAAAATAAAAACAAAGTATGGTGAACCATAAAAATATTATACGATCCCAACCTCAATCAGGCTAGATTTTAGACGTACATAAATAACAAAGCATTCAAAATTCAAAGCCTTATTAAATAAGTTGAATTAAATCAAGGACTTCTAATGCAAATACTTTTAATTAATGCCAACATCAAGTAATTTTAATTCAATAAATCATCCAAAATTTATATTAGTCACATAATTAATATTACTAGAACATGATTCAATACAATAATCATGCAATATATAAAATTTGAATGAAAATTAAAACAAGAGTTGAAATCGATAGGTTTGGATACCTAAATCATAAGTTCATTAACCAAAATTAACGAAAAGAGAAAAAGAAAGAAAAACCAAACCTAGCACGTAGATCAAGTGGTAATGGTGTCTTCTCCCTCATTTGCTTGTGTGGAAAGTCATCCGGTGTCAACATTGGTTCTATCTCGGTGGCCTTGGCTTCGTCTTCTCCACCTAATTAAGGATGTCCAAGCAAAAGGAAGATGAACATATGGTGAGAGGTAGCGTCATTTTCTCTTAGTCTATTTTGCTTATTTTTGCTCTTTTTTTTATTGTTGAGATTTTTGGATTAGGTTTCTTACACTAGAACTCCTTAAAGACTCTTCATAAAACCCACAAACAACCCAAACAACCTCTAGGTCGAAACCTCGAGGCATGCAACAACCAATTCGACATAAATTCAACATTAGGCTAAAACTTCGACCCTCAATCAACCAATAATACAAATCCAATTCAACACTAAATCAATAAAAAATCAATTCCACAACAATCCCAAATTCTAATAATTCTAAAATTAGCACACAAGCCAAAATCATAACAATACACAAAAGCCGAAAACCTTGTGGACTAGAATTGACCCGAAACTCGGTTTAAAGTTGTCAAAACTTTACTAAATTTTAACCGAACCCTATTTAGATCTAAAATATATGATTGATAAATTTTTAAATAATTTTGAGAACCCTAACCTTGAAATCCACTATTGCCACCCCTTCCACCAACTCGAAATAAAATAACAAAATTCCAATCTTCTTAAAAAATAAAATTAAGCCAAAACCATCAATGATTAAATCAATACAATACTTAGTTTCAATTAGAGACAAGTGAATCAAGACTTACTTGGATAGATATTTTGAGATTTGTGAAATAAGTACGTTAGGACTCAAGGATACAAATACCACCATTTTGATTATTGAATGCAATGATCAAATTGTGACCTTGGGTGATCGATGCTAAGAATAAAAAACATGCTCTATATTATGCAAGAACACGATTTGAGAAGAGAAATTCTCTTTGTTTATTTTATTTTTTAATCAAAACAACAAAAATGCGTTCAAAAGTTACAAAAGAGTGCTTAAATATTAGTTGTTAAAATCCTAACTCAATTGGACTTATTAACTTAAGCCTAATCCGAAATAAACTAGGACTAAAACAAACCTCTAATTTATTTGGACTTAATTAACTTAAAAGCCTAATCTAAACTTAATAAGGACTAAAATAAAAACCTAAATACAAATAGGAACCTACATCCAACAGAGGATAAAATAATTCAATTAAAACAATAAATAAAGATAAATAAGCATGCATATTTTGGTGCAAGCTTGAACTATTCATCCTCCATTGTCTTAAAGCTTTGGCCTTGTTATCTTGTGTACACTCTCATGTCATTGGCAACATTAACGTGTCCTAGTGAGAGATAGACCAAGATATATTTATAAGTGTAATGTAGGTCGATTTAAACTTCTTCTTCTTTTTTTCTATTTTGAATTCTTAGACCGGATTTGGACGACCATGACCCAGCTTTGCACATGTATTAGAGAGCTTCACTTGGTTGGCTCGGAGTAAAATCCATTTAAGAAATGGCTAATAGTTACTTCCTTTTATGTTTTTTTCTATACGTACGGCAAAAATTAGGTGATGACATAGGTATTTTGCATTTTGGCAAGGCCGGTGTTCATGCTTTATCTTTAGAATGTATTAAAAAAATTAACTTGGTGAGCTCAAAGTATTATTGGTTGAAGAAAGATCTAATTGTCACTTTCTTTAGCTTTTAGTAGCAAATTTAAGTAGTTTAACCTAAAAAACCCAATTTTTTTCGATTCAAATTTGACCATCCAAACATAGATGGCGTGACACGATTCTAGAGATAAAAAACATTTTTAATTCACTATAAATATCAATCTCATGTAATTGTGAAGAGATTTCAACTTTTTAATTTCTCATAAAAAACCTTTGAGCTCTCTCTCGTCTAAGCTCTTCCATTCACAAATTAGACAATAACTAAACTTTCATTTGTTTGGACTTTAACCATCAATTCTCCTACCTCTGGATTTGCGCTTTGCTAGCACCAATGCTCTTCCTATCATGTCTCTCACTACTTTCATCTATTTTACTTGGTTGGTTGATCGTTGCTTGTACAAGACACATTACTAATTTTCTATATTTTGACCAATCTATCGACTAATTGTTTGATCAGTTTTCAAGAACTATTCATGCACCTTTTAAGAATCTTCCTAATCATATTGGGATCTTAGTTTATCTTGGCAAATCTTGAACTAATGCAGCTGCAAGCCAAGCTGCACTTAGTTGTTATAATGAATAATATCTAGTCAGTTCGATTCGAGTCTATTTGATTTTTTGTTTTTGCATGTTTGATTTTTCTTCAACTATTGAGGTAACAAGCTGAAGATGATATTTTTATGGAGCTCACTAATTCAATCAAAAAATAATACAAGATTGTAAATGTAAAACTTGAACATACAAAATTATAACCTACTTTGAACAAAACTCGTGAAAAATACAGAGAAGAGAAGAAAATCTTCATTTTATTTCGTATGCAAGTAAATAAATTATCAAGTTATAGTTCTCATAGTGTTTTTCCTTTAACCAGAGATCTCGAGTTTGAATCCTATTTTTCTCATGTTTGTAGCAGCAGCAGCAGTAGTAATAATAATAATAATAACAAATAATAAAGCTGATAAAATAAGCCTGGTTGACAAGCTTATTCACTGGTTTCATTTTTCATGTTTGTATATATGTTTTTTTTTTAATTATTATTGTTAATCTGTTCGCGTTCGCAAATTAAATTCAAACTTGTTTCAAAATACCAAAGAACGAAAAACTCCTTCCATCAAAACTCGAAAGAAAAAAATGAAATATTAAAAGTGAGTTTCCAAGCAGAAGTGATGACAGACTGCTTTAGTTATGCATCAAATATATTAGTACAAGAAGAAGAAAAGGAGCTATTGAAGAACAAACACACTAGCTAGAACCCTTAATGACTTGCAACAAATCCAAGCAAATACTAATAGCTATTAAAAAGGCGTGCCTTATTTTATATTTTACAAATAGAAATATGTAAAAGTCAAAATCATTTTTCTAGCACAAATTAAAATTTCATAAGCAAAAGACAGTTCCACACGAACTAAAACGCCATCATTGAATTATGTGCTATATAATATGTATGAAATGTCTTTAAACCACTTCATCCAAAACAAACTCCAATTTGATTCAACCTTAACTGGTGGAAGCAGAGCAAGTTCAAACAACACAATATGTATGATATAAGATTACAAGATGTATTTAGCCTCATTTTATTCCTTTTAGTTTCACTGCCTCTCCACCAATCTGAAAGCACTCTGACTAATAATTAGGACCGGCTGCAAGAATCTCCTCCTTCAGCATGCTGTCTTTTCCAATCTTATAATTTGCGAACACCTCAAAATTCTTCTTGAAAAGACCAGCCAGCTTCAATTGGGTATCCTTGTATGCATTCTCATCCGACCACTACAATCAAAATTATATGCATGAATTGAAAGCACATATTTGAAGGATTAGGAATTTAAGATAAGTTGAAAAATAGGATAAAGACGGCCAACTTACAGTGTTCACAGGATCCAAGATTTCTGAAGGTACGCCCTCAATCTCAGTTGGGATTTCAAGCCCAAACACTTCAGTCTTTTTATATTTTGCATTTAAAAGGCAACCGGAGTGGATTGCATCAATGATCCTCCTAGTGTAAGCCAACTTTATTCGGTTTCCAGATCCATAACTGCAAAAAACATGAAAATTATCCACTGAACCAAAATGTGTCAACTATCAAGCAGCATACCTTCCGCCTGACCAGCCAGTATTGACAAGCCATCCAGTAGCCCCATGTTTCTGCATCTTTTCAGCCAGCATGGCTGCATACTTGGTAGGATGCATCATTATAAATGCAGCACCAAAGCAGGCCGAAAATGTTGCCTGTGGCTCCTTAATACCATCCTCCGTCCCAGCTACCTGTTTAAGCACTGAGATAATTATTAATCAAGTTTTTCTCTATTGAACCAGGAGCCTAATCGGCCTTGTCAAGTAAAGGGGGAAGTAGGACATCTATGACAGATCAATCTGGAATTGCATTGAAGAGATGAGAAGTTCACAAGTACCAGAGCAGTATAACCGCTGATAAAGTGATACATGGTCTGTGCCAAGCTCAGCTTGCTCACAGGTGGGAGCACGCCAAATGCATCACATGCCAGTAGAATGACGTTCTTTGGATGCGGACCAACACATGGTATCTTAGCATTTGGAATGTACTCGATAGGATATGCTGCACGTGTGTTTTCTGCAACCAGAAAAGCCAGCTTAACATGTATCAAGGTGAATTCGTTAGAAGAGCTGAGTTAGAAGTCAGATAGAGGAAATCTTCGAATAGGTTTAATTTTTCCCAAAAACCTTTTGATATGTATATACAAGTAGTATGGACATCTCATATCAGCTCAATTAGATATACATGTGATTTGTTATTACCCGTAACTGATTTGTCAATGTAATCCACTTCTCGAGTATGCTCATCAAACACCACATTCTCCAATACTGTCAAACATAGGCAACCTTCTTATTAGCTATAATTAATACAGCCAAATGGAAATTTCTAATAAAGGGAGAACAAAATCATGTGTTTGCCAAAATGAAGCTCTTTCACGGAATAAGTTCTCATTTGATGTTATCCTTGTTCAAGAATAAAACTTGTTAGCATTTTTTCAAAACAAGGAATTGGAAGAAGGATGAATATATATGTATGTATGTATGTATGTTACCGGTCCCAAACTTGATGGCATTCCAAATATCAGGCTCCTTCTCTCGTGAGAGATCAATGCACTTGGCATAGCAACCGCCTTCTATGTTTGACACACCATTCTCACTCCAGCAATGTTCGTCGTCTCCAATTAGATACCTATTATGATCTGTAGACAGAGTTGTCTTCCCGGTACCTACAACAAACAAGACAAAAGGCAGATTTGTTAGCAACCATTTGTAACAGAATTGAGTATCAAGTAGAGATTGTAAGAGATACATGTCAGCAGGCAGCTGATTGCTCCACATTGCACGATTAAAATCCAATGTTACTATACCTGATAATCCAAAGAAGAGGGCAACATCCCCATCTTTCCCCATGTTGCAGCCAGAGTGAAGGGAGAGGATTTGACGCTTCGGCATGAGATAATGCATTACGCCAAATAGACCCTTCTTCATTTCCCCAGCATATTGGGTGCCAAGAATGACCATCTCCTTCCTAGCAAGATTGATGTCTATGCTAGTTGAGGAAGTCATGTAGTGGGTGTAACGGTTACATGGGAACTGCCCAGCATTGTATATAGTGAAGTCCGGAGTTCCAAAGTCCTCCAGCTCTTCAAGAGTGGGTCGGATACACCTGTAACCCACCCGATTATCAAAAATACACCCAGCTAATACATCATTGCATCTCCGTTACACCTGCCTGTTTTGTGCAGACTAAATTTTGTTTTAAGGGCGAACAATTGGAAGCATATAATTTTGCACCGTCAAGGCATTTTAGCTTAGGGAGAGTTAACATGACTAGGAAACAATCTATGAAAATTGCTTCAAATTCAAAGCATGATGAACGAAAAGATAAATTGTTAAAATGAGTAGGTAGTTTTGCCTCATTACTTACATGTTGTGCATGAATAACGAGTGGTAAGCCCTGGCTGAAACAATACGGACTTTAATTCTGTGTTCTGGATCCCAATTCAGGAACTGATCATTTACAAAGACCTGAAATGCAGTTTTATCAGTGTGACTAACATCAGTGAACAGATCACTACAAAACATTGAAGATACTGATGACATTTTTTCTCTCTGAGGGATGAAAAGAACATTAGATTTTTCATATGTATTGTTGGATAGTTCAGATACAAATCAGAAGATGGTAAAAATCTGAATCATTTATTTTTACCACCAATTAAAAAGGCCAGAATCAATTAGTTCCATGGAAAAACCTCATAAGATAGAATACAGTATAGTAGAACAGTCGATTGCTCTGAAATGAGGACCCTTCTCGCCAATTATATTTATGGTACGTTTTTCTTGGTGACATCTTCAGAGGCACGTACTCAATCGAATTATCAACTATCAAGCCTTAAGCCTTTGTGTTCCAAACTAGTAGGTAAGTTTAGATTACCAATTCCTTGGTAGAAACAAATAGAGGGTGGCATAGCTTGACAAGTTCAATCAGTTAAGAGGGGCATAACATGAACCCTTAAAAATCTCCTGAATGAAAGAACTTAGGATTGGAATCTATCACTGCATGCATGGAATATCATTTGGAACCTGGTGCTTGGTAGTTATGACCACTCATCAGCAAATCTTACTTTACATAGACACCACATTTAATCTTGGGGGGCTTACACGACCAGCCTGTGGACACCGGTAATGGAAGTGAAAACGACCAAGGATGGATTAGCCACGCCACACAATAAAAAAAACCCAACCTCGCACCCGGTCCCAACTCATCCTAACCTTACAAGTTGCACCCTGGACCATATCATTACGAAAAGATGGACAAAAAAAAAGGGTGCAACTGCTTGGTTTCTGTTAGGACTTCAAGGTTACGATCCTTTTCTAGGACAGCAGGAAAGAAGGCTTGGGCAGTTAGTAGATCTCATATTTGTAATCTTGTGTTGGGACCCAGGAAGCATAAGATTCTTGAATAGAGACACCGAGAGGCTCTGCCACTATCAGGATTCTTTCTTAGATGGTTATAATGCTCAGACAAAAACAAAAAAAAAAAAAAAAGGGAAGAAGAAGAAAAAAGGGCCATATGCAATTGCAAATATAGAGATGCGACTGTAAAGCCCACTATGAAATAGTTACATCAACTTAGCAGAACACGTCAAAAGAAATTATCTGGCTACCATCATCACCATCATTGTCGATTATAATATTTCCACACAAAGACACAGCTCCTATGGCAGTGGCAAGCAAACAATCTATAGATGCCGTGAAAGTGGAAAATGGAAATGGATAAAATATTACCTATTGCAAATGGAAAGAAAATTGTTACGTGTATGAGATTACGCTAAATTAATTATTACTTAATAGCTGGTTAATAGTACTATATAGTATAATATTTCAGTTGCTATTGCCAGCAAATTAAGACATCTCTACCATGAAATAAGAAGACCAACTAAGCAAATATGGACAAAGACAAAGTTGCAACTTATAAGCAACAAAGCGATCGATTGTTTTCACAAATATTCAAGTCAGATTAACAGGGATTAATTAATTAATTAATTAAAGGGGTGAACAAGGCTAAATCTCTAGCAAGTGACAAATAATTAGACATGTGTTTTACTGATGGATTAGTTTGAATAATCTGCGACTTTAAAAAAGCATAAAAGCAAAGAGAGCTCAACTTTGAGGGATCAACATGTATACCTTCTCCAGCGAGTTCAAATAATCGACAGCTCTTTCTCTGTTAACCATGAAAGTATGTTCGTCCATTTCAATATTGGGTGAGCCCCTGCAAACGAACATTATGAATCAGAATTAAGAACTAAACTAATGTGATTGGATGTAGATGATTAATCAGTAGAGCAAAAAAATAATAAGAACAAACTTACTTTCCCCACCAAAGATCTTCTTCTGTGGTTTCATCCCTGACAACACGTTTATCTCTTGGTGACCTTCCTGTTTTTGCCCCAGAAAGTGTAGCTAAGGCACCAGTTGATGTTATGAATGAACCCTTCTCGTACTTAATTGCTTGCTCATAGAGCTCTGTACCACATTAGTTTAATGATGTCAGACTTAACATTGTCTAAGCCACAGGGATACCGTTCATAATAGAATCAGTCTTAACAAATTCTGTTTTATCATTTATGAAGCAAAAAGAAAAAAATCTTTCTGATCCATTAAAACTAAGCTGTTCCTAAGATGTCGTCTAGGTGCAAGAGAAAGTGGAAATAACTGGCCCAATTAAGTGAAATTTCAAGGAAGGTTTAATTAATTATACCAGCAGGGGAAAGATTGTAGAGGATATGGGTAAACTTGAGGGCACTATCACTAGCGCTGAGGGTAGGTGTAATATGGTGATGATGTGCAATTTGTTGCCCCTCTCCCTTCCTTGCGGGGTCCCCTTTCACTAGCTTTGGCCCTGTCTCTCTCGTCAATGATGCCAACGAAGCACTGTACAATACAGCCCCAAAAAGAAAAGAAAAGAAACAAAATCATAAAAAATCGACCACGCAGTAACCAAATCGTAATTAACTTCCGAGCACTAAAATTTAATCACCTGATGGACTGGAGTTGCTGTTTATGGCGTTCTTCTTCAGAGAGGGCAGTGAAAGCACCCTGAGTGCCCTTGATGGGTGTGGTGGGCGCTGATTTTTTCCTCTGTAGAGAATGGAGTTCATCAATTGTTTTGGCTTTCACTGGTGTTCCGCTGTCATCATGACAAACATCGTTTGCCTTCTTGTTATGATCTTGCGTCTGAATTTTAGGCAGCCCTTTCCGTCCAGTACTTCTAGGAGTATTACTTGCGAAGCTAAACTCTCCATTCTCAGGTGCCTTTTTCTCCATCTTCTTCTTCTTCTTCTATATGTGATCTGCAAAAGGAGAGTCTTAAAATTTATGCTATGATCATTGGAATTGAAATGAATATCCCCTGCAGATGGAAAAGGACGTTTCGAGCCCAAAAACTGATCATGAGGATAACAATGAAAATGAAAACATATAAATGCTAAAAATTAGTTGACGAGGATAAGGATATGGGAGAGAAATTTCTTGAAAGAAACAAAGAAAGGAAGGAAGGAAGGAAAATTGTCACTCACATACAGATACGCAAAAGTGTCAGGTTTTTGTTTCTAACGCAAAGTCTGAGAGCGGGATACAAGTATGATCTCAAAATACAACGGCTTGTGCTTTATAAAGGGCAAACTTAACCAGGGCGTAGTTAACCATAGTTTAGAGCCTTAGCTAAAAAGACCATTTTATGCTGCTACAGCTACTAATAAATTGGAAAAATCCAACGTCGAATTGAAAGCAAAACGGTATGCAAGGCCATACAGAGTATAGGAATCGGGTGTTTTGAAGCTGTCATGACAATGGCATATGTGTCACACACGCATTACTTGTGAAGCACTGGAATCAATCCTATCATGTATGTTCAACACAGGCCATATGCCCATATGGGAATGTCGCTTTGATGGTTATTAAAGGAATATGTCCTTTTTTTTTATCAGTAGAATTCGGGTCAACTCAAATTTTAACATGGATTTTATTTTTAAATAAATTCAAAAGATAAATTTAATTTTCGTACTTGAGAACTGATCTAAAACTACTAATAATTTTTTATTATTTTTTTCATAAAAACAAAAACAAAGAAGAAGACGAAAGGTTTCGAAAGTGTAACATCAGCAGTGTTGGGTATGTTTAGCTAGGTGTGCTGTTTTCGTATTCACATGCAGTTGATATAAACTAATCACAAGCTTTGCGTGAACGAGTGGATTTTTCTTGTAATCTAATCACAAGAGTAAACAAACCAAGTCTATGTCTCCCTGCCTTTTTAAAACTGGACGACGAAAAATTGCTCATATTTAGAAAAAAGACCATACAATTAGATGATTTAACCATTAAGATCACTAGATATCATCATGATCATGACATTTTCAATGGAAATAACTTCGTTCGATCTTCTAGTCTTTCTATTTCCATATGATAAATGAAAAATGATTTACAAGATGCATAAGATGCAGTAGTTTTTTTCCGATTATAAAAGTATTTTTAAAACCCGTTCTATATCAATCAATATTAGTTTTTTTTTAAGAGGTTTTTTTTTTTTTTAAATCCTTACATCACTTTGATATATTCAAAGGATTTTATAAATTCTTTTAAATAATAGTTTCAAAATTTTAAAATTAAAAAATAAAATAAATCTTCTTAGCTATAAAATCAATTCATTAAGATTTAAGATGCAGCTGATGAAAGGGACGTAAATTCATAATCAATTTTTTAAAAAATAATTGATTGGTTTGCTTAGAATATGTCAAAACCTCAAAATCCGCTCACCTAAATCCACTTTCTTACGTCATATAGGATACTTTGAAAAATAAAATAAAATAAAACTGTCCACTCGACCATATGTACACAATGGATTGGCTTCGATTTTTGAAAATTAAAATCGATAGGGGGAGAGATTAACCAGAAGACTTTATGCTTTTAAAATCGATAGCGGGGGAGATTAACGAGAAGACTTTATGCTTTTAGAATCGAAGAGCCACCGTCAATGCCGCACCACATCTGGTATTTAAAAGTGTGGTCAAGCCCAATGGATTTCAACCCACCTATGACTTACTCTGAAAAGGATGCCAGGGTACCCACTGCAACACTATTCTTAAATTAATTATTGTTTTTTATTTAATTTATCCGTGTATTTATGTCAATTATTCATTTTTTATCCTTATGTCTTAAATTTAATCAATTAAATTTTGTATTTTTTAAATTCATTTAATTAATACTAGTAGTTTTAAATTTGTTGAATTAACCCAATAGCTAATTTATATCAAATCTAAATTCTATTGTGCAGACAGATACAATATTATTAATTTTTTTTATTTATGAGATAAGTTTTTATATTTACATGAAACTTATGTCATAAAATAATTTTTTTAGAAAAATAAATAAATATATTGATAAATTTTCTTACAAAAATAAAACTAAAAAAAGTGTTTGATAACCTATTTAAATAGCTTAAAAAATTAAATTATATTATTTGATATAAAATTTATTTGATAACTTAAATAATCTCATATTAAAAATTTAAGTTCAATAAAAATTACTTAATTAGATAAGTTTTAATTAATAAAAATTTTAAAATTTTTTCTAATATAATCATACGGCTCTTATATATTTTCATAATTTTAAATATATAAATCAATTGAAAAACAATATCTGTTGTATATATTGCTAAAACAAAAATAACATTTTCATTTTTTGTGCTTTCATCCTATTATCATCAACAATCTGACTCTGCTTCTCCTTCACAACAGGCTTGGGTGATTGAAACAACCCATCTTTGCCGGTTTTGGTACCTCCAGAAGATAAATTCGGAACAAATACAACATTCTCAGAAAAACCCATTAGCAGAGCCACCATGAAAACCCAGCTAGCAGAGTCACCCTGAATGGCAACAGAGAAACCCCTTTTAGCCCCAGACACGAAGCCCATTAGATTTATTCGTTGCTGAAGCCGGAAGGAAGTTTACCTGTAAGATAGTCTATGGCGGTATACAGCAGAGGTCTGGTCTGGTCTGGTCTGTGACTTTTGAGTTGGCGTCGTTGGTCAGTGCACTTCGGCCCTCTTCAAGTCCAACGTGATAATATATGGAGGGCCGTGAAACAATTAAAAGGTGCCACGTCATAGTGTGGCCCCGCCGTTCTGGCGAGTCTTCGAGTTTAAGGAAGAAGCGCACAGTACTATGGATTTAATTTGGATTTGCGCAGGTTGTCGTGCTGGAGTTGCCTAATATGTTGATTAAACATAAATAAATAAAGTTGCACGATATCACCAGTTTTGAACTTTTTTAATCCATCGATAAATCACGTTCAGGGCTATAGACTACCTAGCTAGGACTTTTACCTGTAAATGGGTGCCGACAGTTATGACTTTAATGATTAATTCTTATGATTACAAATGAGCTGGCATGCAAACTTTTTTTATATATATAAAAGCTATATTAAATTCAATAACAATATTTATCAAATAATCTTATTATAAGTTTTATTAAATTCAGTAACAATATTTATCAAATAATCTTATTATATTTAGTATTTAAATTTTAGTAAACACTAAACAGTTTATCGAGTAATATATTCAATATTTAATTATTCAATAATTAAAATTCAGTACTTAACAAATTTAGTATTTAATTTTTAATTTTATAAAACACCACCTAATGCAATTTATGTTATGGTATAGGCCTCATGTGAATATAAAAAGTTATTTTATAATAAAAAAATATTTAATTATCACACAATTAACGTGAATAGTTAAAATAAAAATTAATAAACATATAGCTATTGGATCAACCCACGATGGTAAAATTGAACAGACTCAAATAGGATAATAGTTAATTGATCAAATTAAAAATATAGAAATAAAAAATAATTAATTAACACAAATATAAATTTAGGAATTTTGCCCCTTTTTTTTTCCTCTTTAGCTTATTGATTGTTAGAGGATCTTAAAAACAAATCATCTACGTGTGGACCAATGCAGATTTCTACGTGTGGACCAATGCACTCATGAGAGATTCTTTTTTTACCTTCTAGACCTTCGATGATAAGTTAAATTAAATTAAATTAACCATTAACAACGAAAACAAATTTGACTTAACAATTGAGTTTTCTCTCTATTGTTTGTCTTTTCATTTATATTCGTTTCAAAATATATTTTTAATTAAAATTTTAAACTATTTAATTTTATAAAATACTTTGATTAAAATTTATTTTGAAAAAATTATTCAAATACAATTATAAAAAAAATTTAAAAATATAAATAAAAAAATATTGATATATATAACAATTAATAATCTTTTTAATTTATATAAAAAATAAAAAAACCATCTATTTAAAATAGAAAGAATATATGTTAGTTATAATATTACATAGAAAGGTTATCTTAATTGTGTAATTCAAAAGAAGCTAGATTTTTCAATCAATTGAAAAAAAAAAATTCCTTCATGCTTCTTGGAGAAAAAGAAAAAAAGAGAAAAAAATAAATCCCACAAGGCACTAATAGCCTAGTAGATAATTAGAGGGAAGCCACCAAACAAGGACCCTTAGACAACACATCTTAGTTTTGGCAACTGCTGATTAGATGTCTCCAATTAGAACAAAGATGGAAATTGTAAGATAAAGCTCATCTTTTCATGCCAAAAAGTTGAGAGTTTAATTTTTTAGGGGACAAAAAATAGGAGCATGTCCGTTCATCATGACATTAAATAACATGGCATAAGCAGTGTTCCTCTGTCAAACTCCAAGGCACTGCATCATAAGATGGGACTTGACTTTGAACCTGTTGATGGTGATTTGCCATGCACACCAGAAGCAGATTCGAGGAAGGCACAAGGTCGAAAATTTTCCATGCATAAATCAAATAAATTTATCTAGACTTTAACCTAACTCCTGAAAATAATTTTTTGCAATTTTTTTTTTTTTTTTTTTTTACTTTTAGTGCCTCACACCTACCCCACTCCAACAATTAAGTAATTAATTAATAGAGATCAAAGAAATTTTTATTATCACACTCTTTTAGACGAGTAGTATCTTACCACGATTTATGAAGTTTTTTTGTTTTGTAAAATCAATGATTTATTAAATTGAAGACAGCATATATTTCCAGTTAATAAACCAGCACTTTTGGTTTTGGATAGGATTGATTGTGGCAACCCACGTAGGATCCACACGCATACTGGCTGCTCGTTCTTGACTCCTGCGGGTATTGATCGCTTCGCGGATTATAAATCGGATACTTGGGTGTTTTTTTCAATTTAATTACAGCTAGAAGGATTGATTTCCCCATTTTTTAGCAGTTGACTTATGAAAGGAGTTTTTGTTAAAATGAGTATTTATTTGCATCATGAATAAAGAAATTAAGTTAATTGGAAGGAATGGTGTGAATGGCAGCGAACTGCAAGCGTGTTAGTTAAACACTTGCGTAGAATAAATTTGTGACACGAGAAAAAGGCCTTCGATCTTGTTATCAAGTGAATATGAAGAATGAGAAAGAAGGTGAATTGAGCTGAATATTGTCAAAGATGGAGGAGGCGTTTCCAATTCCCGAAAACAGAGCTAACTCTACAAGAATTCTACAAGCGTTGCAAAAAGAAATTTGTTAATAATACATCCAAATTAAAAAGGGATTTAATATCAGATTTTTGGCGTATAAAACTAATTCCAGGATAACATGATGGTAAAACTAGAGAAAGCAGAGATAGAAAAACATGATTATGATAAGAAGTTTCTGTAATGAAGAAACTACAAAAAAAAAAAAAAATCAAAATAAGCCCTAGTTTTATGACCAAGTGGCATTATAATGCTGTGATGACAAGGACGAGGATCAGAGCGGACTCAATTTACGCACACATTATTTTGGGTATTGATGAAAAGGGCTGTCAAAAAAACAAACAAGGAAGTTCATAGAAAAACCCAAGGATTTCACAAGGTTTTCACGATTACGTTTGATTGGATTGGCTATTAGGCTATGACCTTAATGGGTTGATTTTGGGAAGAAAGTTGATAAATACCATCGAATCGTATGGGCTATACGTGAAAAACGATTGTCGATCTCCTTTTCAATTGGGCTAAAACTCTCTAACTGTTTCCCATATGCATCCCAGCTAGTGGTTTTAAGGTTTCGGGTATTTGGTCCGGGTTTCTGAAAGAACAAAGAAAATAACTAGTCAAGGCACGATAATAATATGGTCTCAAACAGGCCCAAGTGATACTGGCCTGTAAAATTTCTCTAGACGATCCACCATGCACAACTGGGTACAGGCTGGCAAGGCCCAAGTAAAAGTTACACTTCAAGGTTACTCTTCGATTAAAAGACATAAGAATAATAATTCGTACGACTGGAGCAATTGTCTGCAACAAGCATTGCAACATGATTCTACAATAAAGTTAGTATGTAATAAGATCATGCCAGCATCTTGATGTTCACTTTGCTTTGAGAAAAAAAAAAAAAACTTAAGCACTGTTACACCAAACGCAATTTTTAATTAAATAATGTCAGTAGCAATTGCTAGAATACTAGTGATCCATCTGATCAAGAAAATAAAACCGATAATCTAAACATTTGTATTTTATAGAGAATATTTATAATTGTCGTTTTTATAATTAGTTCGATATTACTTATCTTTTGAGAAGTTTGTTGAATCTTGATTTATAGTTGAAAATAGCCTGTCCCCAAACGAAAAAAATAAATTAAAAAAAACTCCAAAATTAATTAATTAAAAACAAATGAAAACGATGGGTCATGGTGTTGGCAACGAGTATCTTGGAATGCACCCTAATCAAACACTATAACTGAAATGACCATGAATTCAAGCTAAAAGTTGCCCTATTTGAAAAACCCATCAGTACTAATTCAGTATAAACAAAAACGCGAAAGATTTGTTGTAGGCTGGCGTTTTCTAACTTGTAAATCACAACGCGGGTGGAATTCTGCAAGAATTGGAACTAAAGAAACATGATGCAGCTGAAATTGATTATCACATAATCAATTTTCAGCTTTACGCCAGGACTATGTTTGGGATTGAAACAAGACCATGTATTTTGTCCCAAAAAAAATTCTTAATTAAAAAGTTTAAATTATTAGATGAAACTCCACAAATGATTTTATATAATTTTTTAACATATTTTTTCTAATGAATGATTTTATATGGCTTTCTAACACATTTTTTCAAATAAAAGTTTTTTTAATTTGAAATTTACATAAATTTTATGCTATTTTATGTTTAATTAATTAAAAAAATAAAATTTTATGTTTAATTAATTAAAAAAATGAATATGTTGTGATTTAAACTCATAATTACTAATTTAATAAAATTTCGATATCATGTTAAAAAATTTTTTTACTAAAAATTTAAATTATTAAATAAAACTTTAAAATAGATTATTTTTTTTGACATTTTATTTTATTCCTCCTCGAGTTCTGAAACAACTTGCTCAAAAATGGTAAACAAACCGAGCAACTTGCCCTGTTGTTGTTTGGTGAATAAAACCACTCTCCCCTTCATATCCTAAAACGTGAGTATAGCTCACCTCCACGACTTTCGCATTAAAGTTGTGGCAAATAGAGACCCTGCAATCTTAGAAAGCAATATGAGTCACAACTTCAAGACCCATCTGTTCTCACCTTATCTCTTTCCTTGATGTACTGTACTGTATCTCCCGCTCTTAAGCCGAAAAGGTGCCCAGGAAGACTATCGTGACCATCGGATACACGAGTGCATAAAATATCCACATTAGTAATCCAATGGACAAAAGACTGCCACGATGCAAGCCATGCGACATTACTTCATTACTGGGTCTGGGTAACGTGAGGTCAAAGGATAAGAACAAGCAGGAGCACTTCAATTTTCTTCCTGGTATATACCACTTCTTGTCAAAGAATAGCAAGAAATGCCAATTTTACGTCCATATAATTATAATGTGTAAAAATCTAAATAAATTCCTAACTGTCGGTTTGATGCTCTCTTTTGTTTTATGTAGCGGCACTTCACATATCATTTTCTGGTTCAGTTTATAGAATTTGACATGCGAAAAAGAAATCCTCAGTGGTTAGAAATGAAAAAAGAGTAATGGCAATTAGTTCACTTGGACGGGAAGGGCGGATATGGTGTTACTTAATGACTTACATTACTTAGGACTTTTCCTTCTTCCTCGTGTCTTTTTTTTTCCTTCTTCTTGCGAAGGATAATAGAAGTTTCGAACACGGGAACTTTTATGAACTCTAAAAAATTTCTATCAATTGCAGGTTCCATAGCTTAGCATTCTGTTCTTGAGAAAGAGAATTGCCGCAGCAGACCAAATTTCATCGAGTTTGAGATGGCATTGCAAATATCAATTCTCTAACTTATTAAAAAAAACACACGCGCGCGCATTTTTTTTTATCATGAGGACACACCCGCCCCCCCCCCCCCCCCCCCCACAAAAAAAAAAAAAAAAAAAAAAAACCCTCTTGCATTACATAATCAAAATTTTAGAGCCAAAGTCCATACGTTAAAACCATAGAAACTTCAAACTCCGATCCTTAATTTATAAGAAGAAAAAAATTTGTTTATGTGAAATTAAATGATAAGCAAGTATTCAGGTTGAAAACAAGTATGTAGCTAGTATTTATAATTTCGATTTAAATTTGATTCAATATTGACCTTGTTTAAATGGGTTAAAAAAACTAATTCATTAAACACGTGTTGCATCTCGTATTTGTTGGATTAAATTGCTATACCATAAGAAGAGAGAAGCAGAATATTATATTAAAAAAATGGCCTGTATTATTTTAGAAAATGTGACCTTTTTTTCTCAGTCCTTGAAATTCAGGCCAATGCCTATATAATAGATCGCATTTTTAATAATTCGAGTGAAGTTTAATCGAAATTAAAGTATGCCAAATCATTTAGAAATTGAAAAAAAAAAACTAATTGAAAAGAAATGAAACTTTTTTTTTCTATGAGAATTAGAAAAGCAAAACATAGTAAAAACATCCCTACGTAGTCGAATAGATGATCTTATGAAACAAATTGAATATTTAAATAGCATTCAATTTAGCAGAAAACTCATACTAAGAAAAATATAAATTACTATTAATTTTTCAATAATCTAACAGCTTGAAATTTTTTTACCCATATTAAATTTTCAAATTCAATCTATACATGTCCATGGACACACACTTTTCAAGTACGCAAATCCAAAAGAGAGTCCCGTGTCGATCTCCCTATCGAAGTCCCCATGATCGAATGTCCAGCCCAGATTTGAAAGCCTAACCGAACATATATGGATGTGGGGTCCAACTAACATCAGGGACAGGGTAGGAGTGTGGATAGAAAAATACAACACCCGCCAATCAGAAAGCAGAAAATCACACTGACCAAATCAACAAATCCTCCGCACTTCCAAAATTCCCCGTAGCCTCTCATCATAAAGCAAAAGTCAATAATTTTGCAACCCAACCTGAGCCACGCTCCTCTAACTTTTTACATTAACCAAAAAAAAAAAAAAAAAAACCAGACCAGACCAGACCAACAACCACACGCCCCCCCCCCCCCCCCTCGCTATCCACAAACTTGCAAGTAAAACCCCTCCATCTCTTCGTTTCTGTCTCATTGTCTGAAAACCTTAAATGGCTGTTTCGACTGGATTTGCTACACCTTTATCGGGTGCCAAAATGGAGACATTGTTATCGTTGAATTCTTCTTCTATATCATCTGTATCGTTTCTTTTGCCACACAAAATGCTGGTTTTCTGCAAACCCGCTAGAAATAATTGTAGAAGAAAAATTTTGTTGAAACACAGAGGAGGAGGGGTGAGATGCGAGGTTTCTACTGCTTCAAATGATGCTGTTGTTGCTGCTGAAACTGATCCGGCTAAACTTTCTAGCTTGTCTGCTCTTGAACAGCTCAAGACCTCTGCTGCTGACAGTGAGTTATTTATCTTCATTCTCAATTTTTTTTTTGGTTGATTTTGGGTTTCAAATTTGATTCTCAATTGTGAATGAATTGCTTAATTGTAATTTTGGTTCCTAGGTAAATTGAAATTCCATGGTCTTTGTGCGTAGTTTTACATTTCAAGGAATCAGAATATGCAAGAGTGTTTAGCAAGGTTCAAGGGTGCTCTTGTAATTTTCAATAAATTCCAGTTTGCTTACTGAAATGTATTACTTAACCATATATTTGGATTCTGAGATTCATAATCAGCGTTTTTAACCTGTTTGTATCTTAGATGCAACAAAGGGTTTCAACATTTGCCACAGAGGTTATAATAAAATGTTTGTGGTGGTATGGCGTTGCTGATGATTTTCTTGTTGATCTACATCAGGATATACAAAGGAGAGGGCTAGCATTGTGGTAATTGGGCTTAGTATTCACACTGCACCGGTTGAAATGCGTGAAAAGCTTGCCATTCCAGAAGCTGAATGGCCTCGAGCCATTGGGGAGCTGTGTGGTTTGAATCATATCGAAGAGGCAGCTGTGCTTAGCACTTGTAACAGAATGGAGATATATGTTGTTGCCCTATCTCAGCATCGTGGGGTCAAAGAAGTGACTGAATGGATGTCAAAGGTGCTCTCTTGTTCCTGTACTTGATCTGTTATGGATTTTAAGAGAACCTTAATTTTTGCAGTCCTATTTACTTCATCGGTACATAGGAAAGAAAGTTTTCCTAATGATGAAGAAAACGTGGGATTAGATTTGCCATAATAATATAATGAGAGATGCTCTAGCTAGATGACTTTGAGCAATTAAAACTTTCTAATTTGTCCCAAAGTTTACTGCCATCGAATGATTCGGATTTGATTTTTCCAGCCTAATTTTGCTTCAAAGAATGTGGCACATGATCTTTGCATGATTTCTCGCTTCTTTCTTTTCCAAAACAGGATTTAGTTGATAAAATATTATTTCTTTCCGTTTCAGACAAGTGGTATCCCTGTTTCTGAAATTTGTGAGCACCGGTTTTTGCTGTACAATAACGATGCTACCCAGCATCTGTTTGAAGTATCTGCTGGTCTTGACTCGCTTGTTCTTGGAGAAGGTCAGATTCTTGCACAGGTTAAACAAGTTGTCAAAGTTGGCCAAGGGGTTGTTGGCTTTGGGAGGAACATTAGCGGGTTATTTAAGCATGCAATAACTGTTGGAAAGCGGGTTAGAACTGACACAAATATCGCTGCTGGGGCTGTTTCTGTGAGCTCAGCTTCTGTTGAATTAGCTTTGATGAAGCTTCCTGAATCTTCTCATGCCAGTGCCAGAATGTTGGTGATTGGGGCAGGTAAGATGGGGAAGCTTGTCATCAAACACTTAGTAGCAAAAGGTTGCACAACGATGGTAGTAGTAAACAGAACCGAGGACAGGGTTGCAGCCATTCATGAGGAGTTGAAGGATGTTGAGATTATATACAAGCCCCTCACAGAGATGCTAACTTCTGCTGCTGAAGCTGATGTTGTTTTCACAAGCACATCATCAGAAACTCCGTTATTTGTGAGAGAAAATGTTAAGGATCTTCCTCCTGTTGGTTCAGAAGTTGGGGGTTCGAGGCTATTTGTTGATATCTCTGTTCCCCGAAACGTAGGCTCGTGTGTCAATGACCTTGAAAATGTGCGAGTTTACAATGTTGATGACCTGAAGGAGGTTGTGGCTGCTAACAAAGAAGACCGCCTGCGAAAAGCAATGGAAGCTCAGGCCATCATTACTGAAGAATCTAAACAATTTGAAGCCTGGAGGGATTCATTGGAGACTGTTCCTACCATCAAGAAATTGAGGGCTTATGCTGAGAGAATCAGAGTTGCAGAGCTGGAGAAATGCCTGTCAAAAATGGGTGATGATATCTCAAAGAAAACAAGGAGAGCTGTGGATGATCTTAGCCGTGGTATAGTGAACAAGCTCCTTCATGGTCCAATGCAACACCTGAGATGTGACGGTAGTGACAGCCGGACTCTTAGTGAGACCCTCGAGAATATGCATGCTCTTAACAGAATGTTCAGCCTCGAGACAGAAGTGGCTGTTTTGGAACAAAAGATTCGAGCCAAACAAAGCCAGAAGTAAAGTTCCAACTTAAAATAGCTTCGTGACACTTCATTAACCTTCTCCAAATTGAATAAGAGGAAATCTTCCTCACCTTTCTCCGAATGCTGACCTCAAGTGTACGCTTCACTTTTAATGATTGAACTGAGTTCCCTGGAAGGAATCGTCCATTGATTTATTTGGCGCAAGACACTGTTTTTAACTTGGAAATGGCGTTTTTCATATGTGTCCTGTGTGTCTTTAGTAGTCTCATCTTTCTAGGGTACAGTCGGGTAATAGAGAGGTGAGCTTGATCTTTGTATCGATTTGCACCAGAGTTTGGCATGTATCTGGTGTACTGTTATCATTGTAATTAAGTGTATACTTATTTCAATATAGAGCTGCCATTTATTACAAGTATCTCTTTCGCGCGCGCATAGTGCGCTTGTTTGGAAGGATGGAAAGGGTAAAAATCAAAGGATGAGAGAAGAAAGGATAGATTCTAATCCATCTGCTAGTTGTTTGGTTAGCAAGGGACGAGAAAGATGGGAAACACTTCAATTGGGCAGATTGCAAATTACAGAATAAGGACAGGGGGTGATCCTTTCCCTCCTAGGGCCTCACATGTAATTTCGAAAAGATGCTTGGGGGCTTTGACAAATGAAGTCCAAGTTACTTGACTGCACTTGGTTTCTATCTGAAAGGGACGCTGATTACTGCTTTTATTATCTCGGCGATCAGATGCTGCAAGAGATGGTGGTCATTATTAAGCATTAATGGAGGTAATGAAAAATACATGCTAATGCGATGTTTTGTGTTGGCGCTTCAAATTTCAGCCATCAAATTCTCCATCATGGGACAACAATTGGTCACTGTACACCAAGCGGTTCAGAAAAAAACAAAAGAAGGGAAAAGTAGGAATTGTGTGTTGCAGGCCAACCAACGAGTTTGTAGCTCAAGGGTTTCTTGCAAAAGCAAGAGCGGTGAGATCTTAACATCAGAATCCCAGCCTTTGGATTCTGATATTGAAAAGATAAGTGCATTTGTAATCCATAAAAATGCAGAATTCGTGCTTTGGGGCAGGCATGCCTAGTCTATCTAGTCTGTAGGCCGAAACCATCTACATGAAACTGCAATTCTTTTTCTGGGCCCAGGCCTGGCTCAGTTTCTGTTTACCTCGGTACAGTGCAGGTCTAGGCCGCTGAAATTGTGGATTGGGCCGGGAGCCCATTTTCATTTCAAAAGCTACCTATCCATGTACCTTCCGATTTTCTATGGTATTTTTTTTTTTTTAGTTTTTGTGAATCGAACTTGTTTAATCATTAATGTGAGAATATTGGTTAGTTTATAAATAAATCTTTTAGAGGCGCAATCACCTTATAGGCATGCTTGTATAATTTGATGCCACATATGTCTGTTGTTAAAAGATTATTTTCCTGGAGACAATATATTACCTACTAGAAGCAAGCGAAAATAATATTTGTGGGAATAGCTATATAGTTTGGTGTCATATATGTCTGTTGATTAAAGATTATATTCTATTTATACTATCTATTGCCCACTAGAATTCAAATCTAGATGGTTTTTTTTTCTCTCCCGGATTTTGATTGTGAAAAGAAAAGAAAGTAAGTCCATTCCCCCAATAATGCTATATCCACCTAGAGTTGATGGTCAAAAAACCTTGGTTGTCATTAGACACGTATTGTCAGAGATAGTTTTTTAAAGTAACCTCGCATGAGTTGATATGTCGCTACATTTCCACAACTCCACTAGGACAAACCAGCTATACATCTACCTGAAGAACCCAAAGTATCATCTCTTCAGTCATTACTAAAAGCAATTCTGGTCCATAATGCAATATACATGCATGACCATTGTCACAAGTGATTTTCCTCTCTCCCACTCCCACAGGCAACTTGATTAAACATATCAGCTATCCAATGCAAGCAAAGAATGGGAAATGAAAAATCCACAAAATCTATTTTATCGTCACTTTATTTTATGAATATGCAATCTCAGCGTGAGTGGTGTGTGATAGACATAGTCTTAAGTGGGACGAATTGCGTCACTGCCCATAACAGTCCTGCTACATGGGGAAACCAGAGATTATAGAGACAGAATCTTGTTTGGTTTCCCTTCAGTTAATTTTTACCGTTGCAGTACTATGTAAAAATTGCCTTCTGACAAGATCATGTACTTAGGATTGCAATAAAAGAACATTAAAATCTTCTTGGGACATCCTTCTCTTTCTTTTCCCAGAAAGTTTAAAAAGTGCAAGTGATACTGAGTACGTCAAAAAAGTTAAAAGGGGCTCTGTATTCAAAGAGAATGTGGAGCATCTTTATATACACAACCACGTACGCCCATTTCACAAGTAACTCCTGGCACTGGCAACGTGTAAAAATTCAAACATACTTCCCTCCCTAGTTCCTAGTACTGGAATCAAACAAGTTAACAATCCCGTTGTGGTTTTAGTCACAAGGAGAAACCATGGCTTTAAATTGATAGCTGTGTTGCTAGCTAAAGAGTAATGACACATACATGGAGACGTCACATTTAAAGTGAGGTTCGTACAGCAAATTAGCCTTAAGATGGTCCCGTCCCTAACAAGTGACATGATCACAACTACTACTCTGCCGCCTCGTGTCGATCTAGTTTTTGCTAGCTGGCTCATCTTCACCTTTGGAGAGGTTAAATTGATGACGGTGGGCCGGTTTCTGAGACATGGACCAGACGACGAGTCCCTATTTAGATACACCCATAGATAAAGAGTGATGCAACATTACACGGAAACGGCTAGAAATTGACTGATTTTGGTACTAAAGTACCTATTTGCATACAGCCATGTATAGAATAAGAGATGCAACATTACAAAGACGTGGCTGAAAATTGATTGACGGGTAAGACCAAGGCTAGGACAGAAACGCGGTAAAATAAGGGTGCTGATTAGATCATATATGTACCAATCCGGAGAGATTAAAGCTAATATCTTATTTCAAAACGTATAGCTATACAGGACCAATTGCAATTGAAATCAAGAAATTGTTCAAATTGGGCCAAAGGGAACGTGCAGAAGTGATGCACGGAACAAATATACAGAAGCATCATTACATGGGACCTAGGCCCATCATCACCCCTCTCACAAAAGGGTCTAAGGCACTCTTATACCCGAAAAAAAAAGCCAGGAATCAACAACAAAATGATTCAATCATCATTTCAAGTCCTAGCAACCTCAGTCGTTTTGTCCTACTACAATTGCTTGCAAATACACACTTCATAGTCCTGACACTAGCCCACTTATATATCAAAAGCATAGATGGATATGCTTGTTATCTAAAACATCAACCATAAACAAAACTAAAAATAAATGAAAAATAAAATGCTCCATTATCCTAGCATTTACACCTTTTTGTTGAAGAGATGATGATGGTGATGATGACAATCTCCTAAAAATACAATACAAACAGAGTCAAATTATCCCTCAACAAGAGCTGTGGATTAAGTTTTTGAAAAAAGAGAAAAAGCACGAAACAAAAGACAAGCTTTGAGTACCCACCAATCAATTCGTGTGGGGTATCAATCTCTCTAATGTTATCATCCCCTCTGCAGAAAGGCCCGCGCCGTCTGCTACCAGCTTGTCCCCATTTAAATAAGAGACTGTGATTCCAAAATCCAAAGTTTCTAAATTTTTTCTTCCTTTCAATTTTTTAACAAAATCAATTATTGCCCTAACTTCTTATTTCAATTAAAATCTAGCATTTTCAAAGCCGTGCAAGTCACTGACTCTATTCAACGACTTCTTCATTATAGCTACTTTAGCCAGCTTCTCAGCCGCTCTCCAAGCCGAAGTGGGGGTGAGTGGCTCTCCATTCTCATCCATCACCACAGTTTCCCTCTCACTTCCTCTCCGCCGTTGCATCACCATTTGCTGCTGCTGTTGCAACTCAAACTGATGATGCTGACGCCGCCAGTGCACCTCTGCCAATTCAGCCTCCAAACTCCTAACATACTCGTCAGCTGATATCAAACTTGACTGCAATATCAGAGCTCGAGATGACACAAGTAAGTGATGAGCACTCGTAAACTCATTGTGCTCCACAAGCCGCCTAGCCTCGGCTAGGGCTCGAGTAGTAATAAACAAATTACTCAAGTGTTGGATCTTTGGGCCTGCTGAAGGGAGGGCGTGAGGTCGTGGGACTAATAGAGCCTGATCACGACCGTACACAACCTCTTGTGTGGCAGGGTCTTTGTAAAGGCATCGAACAGACATCACGTGGTGGGACCCAACAGCCGATTGCGGAACTCTCAGCTCCACTAACAACTCCCTCTCTTCTTCGGCGTACAAATCGCTAAGCCGAACAGAACCAGAGCTGAGAACACTCGGTCTAGAATTGCAAGAATAAACCGCTACTATTTCAGCTGGAGCGGAGCCCGAGGCGAATCCAAGCTGAATTCTCAAATCCTGCACCACAACACTCAATAGCCCACCAACACATTTGGCAAAAGCATCCTCAGCCGGCTCGTTGCTGTAGCCACCGCTTTGACCAAACCCAAATGAATGAACCGGGATCTCGATATGGGCAAAACGGGTAGACGATTTGTGACTTGACATATGCCTTTGATTTGAGTTATTAATCGGGCGTCTCTCATCCTGACCGTCAGATAATAGCATGATGCTGGCCACAGGATTTCTCTCCCTCCTGTCTTCAAGCACCTTAGTCGCTTTCCTCAAGGCTTCGCCCACACTACTCCCTTGACCACAAACAAGTCGGTCAATGATACGCCGAGCTGAGCGTTGTTCATTAGGAGTCATTCTCTTTAAAGGTAATAACCTTTTAGAACTACTGGAAAAAGCCACAATAGAAAGTCGATCAGCCGAGCCAAGGGAAGAAATAACCAAACGCATAGCTCGTTTCAACATTTGCAACTTAGCCCCAGTCATGCTACCACTAACATCAAGAACCGTTACCAAATCGATGGGCGCTCGCTGGAAAGGGTCTAGAAGAGACGCTGTCGCATTTGAACTGTTGCGAGTAGTCAGTGACGGCAATGGTGGTGGAGCTTTCACTCTCAGCGCCACTGCATAAGTTTCATACCCACGGCCTACAGATATGACAGCTGCTTCTGGCAATAATCTGACCTGAACATTCCTCGAATAATCTCGGCCATTGATTGGAACTTCATCGGATTTAATTGAAGATGAATTGGTAGGAAAGAATCCTTGAAATTCAACACCTTCATCATCTTCATCAACATTCTCGTCAGCTTCAGGGATTGGGTTGAATCTGGCACCGGCAGCTGGAGATAGTAATGGTTCATCATCATCATAGGTTCTTGAATCGGAATATTTTGGTGTTCTTGGTTGTTGTTGTTGTGGAGTGGAGGTGGTTATTATGGCTCTTGGTGATGATTCCACAACGACTACCTTTTTCTCTTCTATTTTGGGCTTGGTGTTGGTATTGGGGTCTTCTTCTAAAGTACTGTCATTTTGGTGGAGATTTTTGTGGATGGCAAGTAAAGGAACATCTTTCCAGGCAGAGTTGCAGACAGGGCACACAAGACTGCCATGCTTGCGAACATAGGAAGCTATACAAGGGAAGTGAAAAGCATGTGCACACTCTGCCGTGTATATTGCTGTGCCTTGACCTCTCTTTACGCTATTCAAGCAGATTCCACAGCTACTCTGCAATTACAAAAACAAACAAAACCCATCTATTGTCAATAAAGTCAAAACTCTTTATCATCAGTAGGATTTAGATCTCAAAACACACCAAAATTCAACATCACTGAAATTAAAGTTAAAATTAAGGAAAAAATAAGAATCTTTTTATTATTGGCAATGGAGAAATCTTACTCTGAATTTGAAACTATTTTTGAAGATAGACAATTTAAGAGGAGATCTAGGAGAAGATGGATTCGAACTCAGTAATGATCTGGAGATTTTAGCAGTGTTGGGTATTTTGGGTGTGCCTTTGCAATGAAGGGTGGGGTTCTCATTTGTTGAAGGAGAGTCTACAGCATTTGTTCGGCAACGCAAGTTGGGACTATGAGACTGCAAACGAGGTGTGTTAGGGTTGCTTCCACTTGAGAAAAATCCTAGCTTTGCACAACTTCTGGGGCTAGGACTTGGACTTGTGGTTTGCTGCTTATCAGAGATCGTGGTTTCTGATCGGTCTCTAGGAATTGTTGTGCAAAAAGCTCTTCTCCAACCGGTACCCATTTTCAGTTAGTGACCAGAGCAAGAATCAAAGAAATCTCCACCTTTCTTTTTTATCTTTTTAGAGATACGAAGAAGATAAAAGAAGTTTTGTTATGAAGGATCTAAGGTTGACACTGAAGACAAAAGTAGTGCAGGATTGAATTCGGAAATAACAAGAGCATGGGATCAAATGAAAAAATAAAAAAGGCTATGTGACAAAGTAGCGATATTTATAGATAGATAGTAAAAAAGAATAGAACCCCGAGTCTGTATTTCTATTTCTCTTCTGCTCTCTCGTTTTTTCCTCTTTTCCCCCTCTATACCATCGATAGCCTCAAAAAGATATCTGGCAGAAGGCAAAACTAAAAAGGCTTGATGAGATCTACTGTCTCCCTCTCTCTCTCTCTCTCTTCGATATACAGAGAGAAGTTTAGCTGTCTTTGAATACAATATATATCCCTTTTAGAAATGGTAAAGTAAGGAATTTACCGTGTTGACTGACACCTGCTGGTTATATTTTACCTATCCGGTCAACGATTGGGCTACAATGCAGAACACGTTATGAACACAGACCTGTTAGACCGGTCACCTTCATGCCTTATATGTTCCATGTTCCTTAAGGTTCTAATCACGAACCAGGACAAAAAAGGGGTAGAAAAAAAAACAGTAATTCAGATTGAAATTTACTGATTAGACTGAGGGAGGGTCCAAAGAGAAGTAATTAGGGGTTATTTAGGAATTGACAGAAAGACAACCTGCTATGATTAACTCAAGATCCCGTTGTGCTTTGAATTCACCAAATAATAAACCAAACAGATTAATTAGCTCGATTGTCCAAGGGTATTTCTTTTTCTGATCATCAGATTTCAAACATTTTAGATTAGTATTCGGATTAATTAAAAAATTCAATTAGGGCAAGAGAAGTAAAACCCTGATAAATCTTTATGGATGGTTTATTTTTAACACGACCAAAGATCCTATTAATCTTAATGAATAAATAAAATTCACCTGATTATTTATAAATATTGAATGTGTGGGCTTCACTATCTTAAAATTACGAGTAGAATCAGAATTAACACGGTTTGGAGCTTGCCTATCTCTGATGCATTATTCACCCAGTGGAAAATTTTTTTAATAGATAATAAATAATAAATAAATTTTAAAAATAATTATTATATATATTATTAGTTATTCGTCGTATATTATAAAAATTTTTTAACCTAGGTAGTTGTTATTGCTACGTTGATATTATTTGGTGCACTAAATAGTAGTCCATGACTTTGAACCCACCAATATCAGCCGTTGATTACTTTCTATCATTTGAACATGATTGTATTGATAAATAACAAAGGGAATCTTCGAACCTTTAATGTGGAATCGTATAGGACAGGTAGTTGTACGAGATATAGGAACCTAGGATTGGTGGCAGGCTACCGTGGTAAAAAATTTTGTAGTAGTAGTAAACTAGTAAGGCTTTTGTTTTACCAAAATAAAATAAAATAAGACAAGGTATACACGTGTCAGGTATTGACATTGCATATTTTGAAGTCTTAATTACCGTATCGCAGTAGAAGTGAAAACATTAAATGCTGTGTAGAAGTCAGATTTTCTCCAGTGGCTCAGACGCCCATTCGACTGATCCTTTCTATGGGGGTCAGTAGCTCTGAGACCATCGTATAGAGGGCCTTTTCAAGTCCTTTGTGTCCTACATAACATGTCAAAATACTTGCCATCAAGGGTCCGGGTTTAACCTCCAATTTTGTACCGGGCTTTGGTGGTAATTTTTGGTAGATTACCCTTCCTATAACAAAAGAAGATTTTAACGTGATGCTTTATATAGTTAGTGGGAGTGAGATTGCGGTCTAAATGCACATGTAAGATGCTGCCATGGCAAGATTCGGTGCTCTCTGTATTTGCTTGCATAGATAATGAAGACAATATAGCGGAGAAGGTAAACAAAACAATCAGCCAATTATGAAGGGACAATATTATCCTTCATGACAGAAGAGATCTTTTTTGCTCGTGGGATTAGGATATAGGAGTAACTATTTTTCCTTTTTCGCTTCGTTTTTTAGTTTTGAGATGGGATAATTGAATCGAGACATTCCTATCTTGAGTATCCCAGTCTTATCTCTTGTTCCTTTCATTATCTAAGTTAACAAGATTAGTTTTTGTAAGATCCTAAAATGAAATGTGCAGTAGATGCTTCGCCTGATACCAAAACCAATAGAAATCTTATATATATTAGATAATAAATTAAATGTATTATACAAAAAATTTGAAAGCGTTTTCAAATCAGATTTTTATCTCATATATTTGTTTGAAAATTATTAATAACTAACCAACTACAATAGTCATAATAGTTAGATTTTAATAGACATAAGTGCTAGTGCTAGTACTAGTATTTGACATGACAAAATCAATTATTTTCTCTGTAATCCTCCTCCTTTAAAATTCTTTTCCTTCTAAAATTCTACAAATGGATTACTACACAGGATAAAATCAATTATTTTCTTTACAATCCTCTTCTCTTCTCAAAATTATTTTTCTTCTAAAATTCTACAATTTTAAGAGATACTATCTTGAAGGAATTTAAGGGATGCTGCCTACGAGTGCAATATTATAGTGGGAGTAATAATCATCTTAAGGGATGATGTGAGGTATTTTTACATACAATAAAGCACTATATAATTCTATTTTTCTTCAAAATCGTTTCAAGTTTTTCAACAAAAACCTTCACAAAACATACACATTTACTAGTTACCCTATTTGTGTTAAATAAGGTATCCTAGTGGTCAGTAGTAAGGATGACAAAATATGAATACCTCATTCATTAATTTAATCTTTTACTTTATCCATTAAAAAAATATTTTATTCATTATTTATTAAAAAATTATCGTATAAATTTTCATTCAATCCATATTCGATCCATATTAATTTACTCATCAATTTAATACGCATTAAATATCTGTTAAATTTAATTTATCAACAAATATTCATTTTAGTCTCTGTAATTTTTTTAAAAAAAATTTTATCCTTAATTTTATTTTTATTTTTTGCATTTTGGTCATTTACTTATAAGTTTTTTTGGTTCTCAAAGTTTTTGAAAAAAAAATATTTTAATTTTTAATTTTTAAATTTTATGCAATTAGATTTACGTATGTTAATAAAAAAAATCTAAATAAATTAGTGAATATTAATAAGATAAAAAATGGATAGCCAAATCCTAAAATCATAGTTTAATGTAAAATGATAGAGAAAATAAATAAATAAATAAATTCGCTTCCTAACAAGAAGATTTATTCGCTTTCCTTTCTAGTAAATGTTAGGTTAATGTTAACGTATTGTCTCAAAGAAAAAAAAAGTTTTTATTTTTTTATTTTTAACCTTCCTTAAGTGTTCAAACTTGGATCCATCACGGACTGTATAGTTGATCCCTCGATGTATAAAACTATGACAACACGAATTCAAGCTCTCTCCATTACTCAAATGTTTTTTCGGGCAATGGGCTCCTGTAAATCTTGAAATTCGAAAAGCCTAAAACTATTAAACACAAAACCAGGCAGCTCCTCCTCTAACTCTAATTGATAGAGGCATCCAAAATTAACCACTCAGAGTTAATAGCTCATTAAAGTTAGCAAAAACCAAAAAGTCAATAAATACGAGTCACGGTTGTGGCACCTTCCCGAAAAGAGTAACATACAGAGTGATTTGACAGTAGGGGGTGAGTGTGCATGTCATCAAATAGTCAATAATTCAGACGCTCACGTGGATCCCTTTCTTTTTAAACTTAAATTAAGGCCCCTAGGTAATTCATAATAGCTTATCTATTGTCTTTCCTCCTCATTGCTGACGTAGTATTTTCATCTTAGGGAATCACAAAACCGGGCGAATTGGATTTCTGAAATGTCAACTCCTTCCGGGAATAAAGTATTAAAATCAGTGTTTAATGTTTTGTCTCAATGCAGTTTCTAGGTTTATTAGTTTTTTATTATGAGTTAGGCAAAGCAAAGCTACTTTTTTACTTTCTTTTACACTTTTACTTTGGAAGTAGCATGCCATGCTTGTTTTTGGATGAAGCTATATGGTAGGTTTCAGTGGTGTTTGGCCAATTTTTTTGAAGTGCTTATGTTTTTGGAGACAACACTCAACCCCTTGTGAAATGTTTCATTTCGCTGCAATAGAAGATGGAAACAGTGCGTGCATGACCCCTTCGACCCTGCAAGCTGGTACTTTAAATTTACTGCTGCATGATTGGCTAATAATCTATTTGTTGTTAGGAGGAAATTGGGGAAAGAACGCAAGCCCAAATGTGGAATACGAGCATTTAATTTATGATGTGACAATTCGCTTTGAATTGTAAAAATTAACGAACAAAGTTGCTAAGCACGCATCTCTTTGAAAAAATGTCGAGCTATAGCAGATCGACGGTTGATTTAAATATGTACTGTGTATGTGTATATATGCCGCGTTTTATTTTTGCATTTATCACTAGCACTATCTATGCCGGCATTGATTTAGCTCGTCCCTGTGATCTTCAATCCTGGGTTAATTTCTAGGTTTGGTGTTACTTATTTTAAGCTTGATGTTAACATCCACCATAACATATAAAAATGGTTATTTATGTGAAGGACCAAACTAGCGAGAAAAGGGAAGAATCTAGATAGGTGAAACCGAAAGTCATAAATCTCAGCTCAATCTCTTTGGTAGGTATGCCCTTACCCAAGAGTCCATCTAGTCCACCTTTTTTCAAACCATGAATATTGTGTAGATTTGGAAACTCGTTATCTATTCATCTATACGTACATAAGTTGATGAAACATGAAACCGTCGAACGGTCATGTAACCAACTTTGTAATAATCAAGACTCGTTTTGAAGGAGAAGATGTTGCATGGACCTAAATAAACTAGGTCGGGACAATATTGCAAAAAATCATTAATTAATGGGAATTATATTTTAGTTAGATGATTAATCGAATAATATTTCTTTTTTCCTTGTGGTGAGAAGATTTATTGAGTTTAAATTACAGAACAGGTGGTTTGCCGTCGCATATATATTTTTTTTAAAAAAAAACTTTTGTTGTACCTTACCTCCATTCCTAGAAAAATGTATCTGAATCTAAATTTTAAAGTTGACAAATTCAAGTTCGTAAATATAAATAAGGAGAACATCCCAATAGAGACCCATGCGAAGTTAATGGGTGCATGCAGAGGTAAAGATTATTATCTCCGAAAGGGGGCGGCATTAACGTGTGTTGCTGGTCAACAGAAGATCAGTATCAATGGAGGCAAAGTCAATGTATATTGTGGCGATTCGCGAGTGCTGATTAACTTTGTTAATTAATTAATTAATTAATTAAAGTATCATTTTCTTCCGTGTGGAGTCTAGTTTGTGATCCCTCGTGGCCCCCTAGCATACCATGTGGGATGTCCAAGTCATCGTCATGTTCCTCGTCCTACATCTACGTGGCATAAAATCATTTCTTTTTCCTTTTTAGTAAACATCGTTCAGTTCCTAATCAATGTTGTTAAGTACAAAATTTACAAAAGAAATAAAATGCTGTTGAGTACAAAATTTTAGTAGCGCGAAAAGAAGATCTCTTTGTTTGTCCGAGACTCACTTTCTTTCAGGTTCTCTTTTTTCATCGTACCTTTTGTCCATTTGAAAGTATTTTTTTAAATATGTTTCGAAAGTAAAAATATCAATTTAATTTTTTATGCGAATTTAGATCATTTTAATACATAGATATCATAATCAATAAAAAAATACTTAAAAATCATCAAATTAATAACATTTTTAGTTAAAAAGCACTTACATAAAAGCACACATACTACGTTAACAAATACAATTTAAAATGAAGCAATTTTAATTATTTTTTAATTATCAATATCAACCATAAAGGACCATGCTGAATGGACAAAAGTTACGCATAGATTATATTTACTTTTTATTTTGAGAAAAATAAAAGTGATGTAATTGGTGCATCCATAGGGACATTATTTTTAACTGAAATCTCAAAATTGTCTTCTATTTGTATTAAAAATAAAATAAAAGGAATCGATACGTTTACAAAGCATAATCATTTCATCAATAAATGCAAATATGCGCCAATAGCATCACTCGTCTAAGAAAGACAATATTTTAGGAGGAAACCTCACCGAGCGTAACCAGTTACCAGCTGGTATCATATAACAATCGTTGCTGCGAGTAAGGTTAGAAAATATTTTTTTAATATTTTAATTAATTAAGAAAAATTCAGGTGAACCAAATCAAAATTAAATAATACTAATTGTGAGATTTTTTTTTAATTTAATTTGTACATTATAGTATTTGATATTATATGTATTCAAATATATTTGGTTTTGGTTAATTTAAAAAAATGCAAATAAAATAAAAAAGTACTCGAACAATCTATATTGAAACCGTATTTAATTTTAATCAACGCAACCATAAATATTGATGGAAAAAACTCTATTTTTTTCTACCTAACAATAATTTTTTATTTACTTATCACCAAGGCAATTCTGAATATTGATTTTTCAAATTTGAAATCTAATTATAAATTTACATAAGAAAACAAAAAAAGATTAAGTAATAAATTATTTGATGCGCCAATGCTACTTGAAACGATTTAAAAAAAAAATTTCAAAAAAACTAAGGAATCATATTTTTAACACATATTGAAGAATCATGATTGATTTTAAAGCGACTCTTAATCAGCAAAAAAGTAATATAAACTAAAAATGATAAATTACTAGCTATTAAATTATTGTTATATGATCTTTTGAATGTTAATCTATGACTATTACTATTTAAAAAATAAAATCAATGCTATGTGAACTCTATTTCAGCATTACTGTCGTAATTTTTTTTTTTTTTTGAAAACCGAGGATTTTGAATTGCCGAAACATCAATCAACAAACCTCAAGTATCATAAAAAAAATAATTTGACAACTAATCATCTCTTTTTATACAGCTGCATGAGGAATCGATATTATTGAAAATAACCTTTATTTTCTATACAAATTTAAAAAATAAACTAAAAAAACTAAGAATTATGAAAAATAATAATTTTTTTATGAGGTTATATGAAAAATACAAAAAAAGCCATTATTTATTATTTGTTCAATAATAATAATAGAAAAAAAGAAAAAATTTGGGTCCGGCGCGCACTTGGGATGGACACCTACAACCCAAGAGTTTTTTTTAAAAAAATAATAGAAAGAGGTGGACGAAGCGTTGTCCACGAGGAATAGCACGTCGTTTTCTTGAAAATTGCAGCCGACGAAGCTACAACTTCCGGCGCCACTGACTATAATTTCTAACGACCAATTGGTGGCCAAGAGATTGGAGAGCCGATGTTTTTTACCCTATAATTCTATTTTTTATGCATTTTTTACTTAAAAACGTTATATAATCATAAAAATATTTCAAAACCATTTTTAACTCAAACACACGTTCTGATCCACTCCAAACCTCTCTTGCCTCCTCTCTCCTCTCTCCTCTCCCGAGCGTTTCTAATTCTTTTTTCTTTACAAAACAATTAGAAAAGCATAATGATAATGAAAAATCGCAACAAAGACCTCTCAAATGGTGAAAATGAAGAAATTATTTGTTGATAATGAAAACATTGAACAAAACATATAGTTTATAAAAAAAAAAAAAAAGGAAAAAAAACATTGGACCGGCAGGCGGCACTTAAGACCAGAGACCCCTTTTCTGAAAAATCGAAGATAATATTTATATATAACAAAGTCCTATTGATTGACTCTAACGTTATTTAGGAAATTGAAATGTTAGAATTGCGTTGATTGATAATATGAAATTGTTACAAATGGTAAATATTTGATCTTTTTAATTTCCTTTAATTTTGATTTCTTGATTAATTAAATATTTCATAATATTTTCTAATAGTTTCACTGTTTCTAAGCACGGTAAAAAGCATCCTCTTTTATTTTTTTAATAATTCTCCACCCATTTCGATATTATGATTTGGAAACTCTAATACAGAGAGAGAGAGAGAAATATAAAGGAAACCTGAATTTGATTTAAAAAAAAAAAAAAAACGTGACCAGGGGTTTCCTTCGCAAACGAGAAAAAAATTGGACTTTTGAATCATTGAGTGGGACCCTTCTTTAACGCCTATTGTGAGTGGAGCCCATACGAGTGAGTGCAATGGGCCCGCTCTTTTAAGACTACCTAATTGGTGATCGACCGCCTCTAATCTAACGTTCATCATTTTGTGGAAGGAAATATTGTGTCAAAACCTAATACGAAACACAACATGGCAAAGTCATCTCAACCCTTCCATGGCCAGCACCAACCATAAAATTGTTCCCAAGTCTTGAAAACTCTGTGGCAACCCACTGCATTTCCTCTTGCAATTTGGTGCTTATATTTTGGAAGAGACAGATCCATCTGTGTGTGGATGCCTTCCGTATAATCGAAGCGTTCTAAATTTCGAGCGTTAAAAGCTTAATTATTAATTGATAAAACATAAATAAATGAATGAAACTAGGTGAGCTAACATGATCAACCCTAGACACCCTTTTGACTGATAACAATAGAAAATTTGGTTACGCGTATCTTGAGCACTTGCTAGTTGTTATCGGCACAATATTTTAAAGAAATAAAGCCATAACTGCTAGTGTATATCTAAAGCCATGCTTTCGAACCCCACTAAAAGGCACGTGGATGGTGGGTCAAGTCTAGGTTTAGCTAATTGATCATGTGGTTAATTAAGAACATCAAGTTTTATGTTAATGGGTGAAGTACTTAATCAAGTTGTACTCTTAATGGAGAATGTAGAATATGCTGTTCTCGAGGGGGAAGAACCTGTGTAGAAAACGCCCACACGTCACATGACAGAGTTGGACACCCCATATGAAAGAGATCCCATCATTCTGCAGACTCCAATTCCCACTTGCCATTTTGACCACTTAATCAAAACCAAGCTATCGATGAACTGAAAAAGAGAGGTACTTAATTGCACAGATAAGGTTTGCCTAACATGATTTTTGCCAAGTTAATATTTAAGTTTAAGAACCCTTAAGGATAAGTTTGACTCGTTATTTGACTTTTTGAGTTTTAATTTTTAAATTATTTACTGAGAAAATTTATTTTTTATGAATTTATTTGGTCAATATAAAAAGAAATACAAGGTGGTTTGAGAATGAAACTAAATTTTTATTCATACTCAAATATATTTCTAACTATCAAACTCAAAAAATAATAATAAGTTCAGGAACTGTTTAGTATCTCAATTGTTAGATAGCTAAAACGTTGCGTTTTCGGAAAAATAATGGACACGCAATTCCGCTTTCAAGTAGAAAATTGACCCCTCGGAGTATGAAATTTCTAAACGCAGACCATGCCATCACTACATTTTTTTATATTCATTGATATAACCAAACAAGATATTGTTGGGAATCTTAATCTTACGTCAACGAAATCCGGCCTGCAACTCTTTTTTCCAAAAAAATATGTATTTGATATCCTTAGATCTTTTTACAGCACAAAATCTTCAAAATGTTTTCAGATGCCTCATTTTTCACTAAAACAGACCCAAGGTTTCGTTCCCTGGGTCTTTTTTTTTTTTTTCCTCTTCTTTCGCCAACGCGTTTTCCAGGAAAAATTTTGTACCTCGATCCACTTGTACAAAATTGAAATTCATTTAACGTAATTGTAAACAAATTAATTTTGGCGTGCATATTAAAGCTTCGGATTTCGCATTAGAATTGAGCACAAATGCATAATGGATGATGAATGGGTCTCGTCAGAATCAAATTCTTCTAATTAAGGGCGGAGCTACAACCTTAAAATATCTGGTATTAATTAAAGGCAGTCGTTCCAACTGAAGAGTAGAGTTATGGTTTTGTAAGAGGGACTGCTTAAATCTCAATGTAACCGAACACAAAGCTAATTACTAAAAAACTGCAAATTATTACCATGTGTCACATACCACGGCTGCATATGGAAATGTGAAGGCAAACGTGATGGAATCCTAAATTACAAGATAGTTGACGTTTTTTATCACCTTTCCATTGCAAAAAGTGTTATAATTTTATTTAGAGTTTCCTGGCCATGAGATCTCAAATCACTTTGAAGCCATTAGATAATTAGCATTACTCGGATTTGATTATGTCATTAGGATTTGAATAAGGTGAAATTCCCCTAATCTCCACTGAATATTCTGAAACTACTAGAATTCGGTGCGCTGGCGGCGGCGTGGCCTAGTCATGTGGGTTCTTGGCATCTTTAATTATGTTATGAATTGACCATACATTTTTGGTTCCATAATCTTAACTAACTTACAAAACCATGAATAATTAGCATTTGTAACAGAATCAATAGTTATTTAAATGCGTTCATTCACTGTTTAACATTAAAAGAAAAAAATAATAAGAAAAGGGAATATATGGAAGAAAAAAACAGAAGAAGAGGAACGTAGTGGGAGAAGTCACATGGATACATGATAAGTTTAATAAGGAAATGGCATTGGTCTCTCTCTCTCTCTCTCTCTTTGAGATAATAACCTTGGATTCACTTAAGAAGAAAACACATATCAGATTGATAATGAAAGCTTTCCTTCCTGCTGGTTGTTGAGATGTTGCAACAAATGGCGGGCACATGTCATGAACTATACGCAACTGTTTGCATCTCTAACAACCATATTATTTTCCAATTGTATATCATGAGCACCACCATCGTGCCTATTGTTTTTATCCAATTTTCATTTTATTTTTCCGCTTTCTTCCAAATTAGATAATTATGATATAAAGAATATCCCCCCATATGAAAACACTTAGCGGTTTTTTTTTTTAATTTCATATTCTTGTTTCTGTTGAAAATTGAAAACCCCACCTAGCTATAACGTGTCTCTCTCTTTACGAATATATCAAGAATCGAATTTGGCTTTCCCCGCCACAACAATTGATACTTGTAACAATGAAATAGTGTAAATTCGTGCGTAGAATGCACGAAGTAAATTTATGATGGTTGTGGGAAGAAGAGTCTATTTGAATCGTATGCAATATTGTCTTCTCGTTCAATATGCATGGCTATAATAGGTTCAAATAATAACACAGAAAGAGGGAAAATAACTACAAAACTAAAGAAGGATGACCGAATAAGAGACCAGAAAACTCAATTTAATCATGACCGTATGCAAAGCCCATTCCTTTCAGATGAGCATTTTTAACCAGCTAAGATGGAAGATTGTAAGAGTTATCTGTATACAAGTGTGGCTTGTATCTAGCATTATTAAAGGGTATTAAAAAACATAATACATAAAGAGCCATGTCGTGGAAAAGGACACTGGATTTTGATAAAACGTCACTCAGTCTTTGACATAAATTTAGCCAATTTCATGGTGGGTTCAAACACGGTCAAATTAGTGTTGATCATCAAAAACAATAGGCATTTGTCGAATTAAGCGTAGCACCTAACCTCAGTCTTGAAGTAGTATGATGCCATCTGGCAAATTGGATGCATCAATTTTGTCATCATCACCGACAATGAGCTTGGCGGTCTTTGATGCAAGAGATTCTTGACCTCACCGTAGGATGGAACCGAAAAGGACACCTAACCTTGAGTATGTTATTGTGTTATCTGTTTTTTTTTTCCAGACCGTCCTAGGTATTCTCCAGTTAAATTATGTTAGAAAATTTTATAATACTTAAAAAGTAATTATTATATATAATATATTATTTTATCGTTTCATTTAAAAAGAAAATAGACACATAATATGTTAATTAATTTTTTAAAACGCTCATAGAGATGTGTATTCATGTCCAAAGTGTATTTGAAGGGATAATTTTTTTTTTGGAATATTAAATTTGAATTTATAAATTTAATGTAAAAAACAATCCATGGACTAATTCCTTGATTTTATTTTTATTTTATTTTTAACAAAATCTTGTCAACAGGTAACCTGACATGTTCATTGGGAAATGTTCTTAAAATCAGGGTATGGACGCTTTTGGTGGCATTATTAGATTTTTTTCAACGAAAGGTCTAACTGTGTTGGCCTACCAAATGTGAATAATTTTCTCTGTTTTTACATCTCATCTCATCTCATTTTTTTCAAAACAAAAATGCTATCAATTTTATTGTTAAAAAAAAAAAATTTAAAAACTTATGAGCCTAAGACTTAAAGTGAAGATATTCAATGTATTATACGTATTCTTGAACTTTCTTTTTTCTTATTTTTCAATATTTAACATTGTTATTTTCAAAATTGAACTTTTAACACTTTCAAATAAAAAACTCTAAAATCTTTTAACAATTGGGCTATAGTAAACAATGGATGTGAGTAATGAATTTGCTTAAATACCCTAACTTAAGAGCAAGAGTGGCATTAAAATTCCTCACCACTGATTTAAATTTTTATTTAAGCAAATTCATTCTTACCGGATCGGTTAAAAAAAAAAAAATCGAATTCCATTTGATTTATGTTAATTTCTTAAAAAGTCCTTAATAGTTTATGACACTAAATTATGCTGAACAGTGAACTTCTTTGCCTCCCTAAGAATTCAGGTAATACAAGGGCTAACTAAAACAGAAACTGGGGTGAAAGAAAAAATTGAAATAAAAAACAGAGACTGGAGCTAATTGAAACAAAGACAAGAAAGGAAGAAGGAGCTGAAATAGAAAAACAAAGACTGACGGAACTAAAACAAAAGAAGAATAAATAGGAAAAAAATAAATAATATGTGTATTTGTTTTTTAAATGAGGTGACTGTGTATTGATGGTTAGTTTGTTAGAAAAATTGTTAGTTTCTAGCGGTTAGCTTGTTAGAAATGTTTTTTAGTCTCTAATGGATTAAAACCAGAGGAAGGATGAGAGAGAGAAGATATTTTGTCATTAGTAAACATTTTTCTTCCCCCATGAGGGTATTCTGGCATTAGTAAACATTCTTCTTCTTGTATTTTCTCTAGTAATCTTTATTTATTTATTTATTTTTCTTGAAAGCTCTACGTAAACAATCTTGCTTGTAACAGTTGTTTTCAATGACTCAATCGAATTTTGGTTTCCCATCACTGTTTTTTAAAATTTTCATAAACTTGCATTTACTTATTTTTCTTATTTGATCTGTTGTATTTTATCTTAATTTTTGTTTGGTTGGAATTGAATTGCATCGAAGGACGTGGTGTTATAAAAAATATCCAAAAACATCCTTTAAAAGTAATTTTGTTTTCAACTAAGCTAGAAACACTTAAATCTAAGAATTCATGATTTTTAAGATTCAAATTACTGAAAACAAAAACCAATAATTGAGAAACCTATGCCGATGCTAATATATACGAAAGTTTCAATTCAAAAATTATGTGGGTAGTGATATGAGAGTTCAAGCTATGTGGCATGATTGCTTCCCATAGAGCATAGAGAAGTTAGCACCCTGCACCTTTTTCCCCGTTTGATTACAACTGGCAAGATGGTTAGCTGAGATCCTAATCATTTGGATCTGGGTTGGCCCAGTCAGATTCTAGTAATCAGGACCCTACCAGCATGTCCTGCTATGATTGGACAGTCCAAAACTCTTGGCGGAATTTAGACGAAAGGATAGAGATTCATGCCCTTCAGCTCTGGTGCATTAAGTCACTAAATGGCCCTATATCTATCGTCCTGGACAAAAAATGAATGTGGCTTTGGTGATGTTGGAAGGTTTTTATTTATGAGAGAAGTGATATTGAGAGGTTGGTGAAAGAACACGTTCATTTCTCATTCAGAGGTCTATACTAGAATGGAGCAAGTAGTAGAAGTAATTGTTTGGTAGCTTTGATATTAATGTAATGATCTGAAGCCCCACCAGTGCTGAATTCGAGTAAAATCACCCACCACAAATCCATTTGATAAAACCCAAGTTGGCTATCGATCTATGTTGCTATCTTCGCTATTTAATACCTATCTGATGCTTGGGGTCGTTCAATTAAAACAATGGATCAGAAATAATTAGCTGGTACCACACCAGCATATACCAGAATGGTTAGGCCTACTTTTTGCCCCTTTTCCAACCAAAGAAATCATAGAACCTCGCTCCTCATTATGTGTTGTCATGATCTTCTAGATATCAAGAAAAAGCAAGCGAACAAATAAATAAATAGACCAAAAATCATAGTCTATTAATTGGACTTTGTTTCATGGGATCATTGAAAAGCAATTTTTTCTTTTGCGAACTACGTGGCTAAAGTAGGATATGAAAAACATATAAAGCTAGCAAGAAAATATATATTCTAAATTATCGTAACTTCATTGATACTTTGACGGCCATTTGATTCACTAATATCTTTAACTTTAAAGGGCAATCCATTGTTATATCTCTCTCTATATCTCTCTCTCTCTCTGTGTGGTGTTGCGTCTCTACTTTACTAACGGTTCAACAAAATCAAAATTTGACGATCAATTTATGTTCTGTATATATAGCACAACATTCTATTTTGATGGATATAGTCAAAATATGATTAAACAAAAAATTATGTGAAAATGTTTAAATGACTATGGCTTACAATGTTAATCCGGTTTTTATGTTGTTAATTCTTTAGGGAGTGACATGCTGATTTGCATGTGTTGTCTTTGTGTACAGTTTTACTTTAAGAATTTATGTCTTAAATTTCTAATTAAAATTTTCTAAAGTTTAATGCCATTTAAACAGGTGCAGAATATTACTATTAACAATGATTATTTACATGATTGATTGCATATCAATTATTTTAATCATTTGTTGACAATAATCACACATTAAGGTCAAAGCTCCTATTATGAAAGTAGATGGTGGGAAATTAAAAAAAAAATCATGATTAGATCAAGAATTTCTCTAACTAATCTCTTTATTACGGCTTTAATTGCAACCAACTTTTCTAACCACTCCAACTTCCTACACGTTGAATACTATATCATAACATAATTGTATAATAATTTATTATACATCTGCCTAACTGCTAATACATACAATTCATTCACCCTCCTCTCCTTTCCATTTGTTTAATGATATGCATAAAATTGAGAACTCCTAACTATGAAATGTAGAGAAGCAAAGCAGATAAAAGGAGATGATTCTTTATCCAAGACCAAATTTCTTATCTTCACCAATCTTTTTCAAAGAACGTCACGTTTCACTTTCCTATAATGCAATGTTGTGATGACACCGCACATTGAAAAGAAGTTCTCTTCACTTCTTGCTAACTTTGTTTCCCAACAACAAATGGGCGTTTTTAACTTTGCCGTCCTTCTGCTTCTAAATTTGCAAACATAATTGCAGAAGGATGGTGTGCATTAACTTTTTCATATAAGTAATTTAAGGAATGGGCTTTAGATTTGGAGCCAGGTGATGGGTATTGAACAGAAAAATGTTTCCATTGATATGGGCAAATCTGCACCTTATGAATGATGGGATATTCATTTCAGTGTCTTGATGTCCTTCCCAAATGGAACTATTGTTCTAAGTAATTGTTTTTTAAAAAAAATTTTGAACATGTGATGAATGCACACCTGTGTTAGAGATATTAGCAGGTCATGGGTTTTATCAGAAAATGTCCTTTACTCATATGAATGCATACACAACATTAGTTAAACATATAATATTTCCTGTAGAAGTAAAAGTTTGGTGATGTGCCAGAAGATGCATGCACAAATTTTAAATGCCGAGGAGTAAACAGATCAGTAGACACGGCTCAAATCACCAGCATGTTTCTCTGAAATAAATGAATAAAAATTCAAATGAGCTCTGATATCGTCATTAATGTCACCAAGAGATTCACGGATGACACAACCAGTTGATACTTCTCTCCATAAACCAAAGATCAAAATTTAGATGATTAGAAATTTGATATTTCCAAGTAGTTTAATTAGTATTGATTCTAATGGTGACTTTGATAATTGTGGAATGATTGAGAAAGCTACTACATTATCAGAAGACAAAAGCAAATGCTGTGCAAGGTGATAAAATGTCAAAAGGCTTATATTATAGTAGAATATTATCCACATTATCTTCTAAATACAAACAATGAGGGAAGGGTCCCACCTTAAAGGATGTTGAAATGAACATTATTTATGATAAGAGTAGTATTCAGTGACCAGACACACTTTGAGGTTTGATGATATGATCTTGGATGACCAGATACTTCTTGAGATTGAAAAGGAAAGGCAGTGTTATTGCTCTTGAGATGCTAATAATGCATCCCACTCCAGATAAAAAAAAGTTGACAAATGTTACTGCAATGAAAAGAAGTGGAGCCTCACGATTCCCAACTATTATTAGATCATATAGCATTATTATAGTCGATTACAAACCTGGTTAGCTCTCCTGTAGAAAGGAAAACGTAGCAGATTCTTCGAAGTGTCGAGTTGCTGTTTTTAATTTAGCTTTAATGTTTAGACAGGCAAAACAATTACCATAGTTTGGTCTCTTCACATTAGGGAAATGAATTTATGTCTCACCTCAACTTTTTTCCAGATAAACAAAAGGAAGAGGACATCACTGAGAATGAAAGCTGCAGTGATGTTGCCTGAGGTAGGTCTGCTGCCGTTTCCATTTCTAAGCGTTGCAGCACTGGCGATTGGGGAATGCTTACCTAATAAAATGTATAGAACTTCAATATACGAGTTAACCGACTACTTACCTAACGTAGAAATCTATGAGTGAATTCATTTTTTAATGTAAATCGTGAAGTAGTGATAATCAGAATAGCATCTATTTTGTCCTAATCAGAACTTTTCTTACTAAGGTTGGTTTAGGCTTTCCATGAGACAAGTTTCTCTTGCCAATTACCCAGTTTGTTGGGCTTTACTCGCAAAAACAGTAACAGAAGCAATAACAGTGCAGAAACTAGAGGTTGAAGAAAGCTTTGAATAGGTTGAAAATCTGATCTATTTTATTGAACCAAACAACTGTTTAAAAACAGAAATTGAGAGATAACTGCTACCCACTAAGCCACTAAGTGACTAACCAACAGATCATTCTAAGTTACTGCAACTAGTTAACATGTACTCCTAACTTGCTGCAATTTACAACATGTAGCAAAACAACCACACTGGTTGCTATCTTATTCAGCAGTTGCTGTAGCACATCTGTAACACTCCTTCTTACTTTAGTAACTGCAGACTCCAAGCTTCTCTCGCAAAAACACAAATCTCTTACCAAGAAGTGCTTTTCTAAAAATATTAGCAAGCTGATTTTCAGTCTTACAACACAACAAGCATACTTCACCATTCTTTTAAGAAATACAACTTAATAATAAAATACTTTGTCTTCCCATTGAAGACAGGATTGTTGGAGATTGTAACGGCTGCCTGATTGTCAATAAACACTTTTGTGCTCTCCTTCTGCTCCACTTACAGATCAGTCAAGGCCTTTCTAAGCCATAAAGCTTGATTCACTACTTCTATGGCAGTAATGAATTCTGTCTCGGCACTTGATTGAGCCATAATCTCCAGCTTTTTAGAATTCCATGAGATGCTCCTGAGCCAAAAGTGAAACAACACCTTGAAGTACTCTTCATGTCATTTAAGGAACCTCACCCAATCACTGTCAGAATATCTATGAAATTGAAAATTTTGATCATAACAAAACAAAACTCCATAATCAAAAGTCCCTTTGACATATCTAAGAACACGTTTGGTTGCTTTGAAATGTATTTCACCAGCATAGTGCATGAACCTTGACAACACACTTAGAGCATGTAGGATGTCAGGCATAGTTGTTGTAAGGTACATTAGACATCCAATGAGGCTTCTGTAAATAGTTTTTTTTTTACTTTTTCTGCACCATCTTCTTTGCTGAGCTTCTCCTTTTGGTTCATATGAGTGCTCATTATCTTACAATCCTCCACCTAAAATTTCTTCAGAATTTCCTTAACATATTTCCTCTAACAAATAAACTCATCCCGTTGATTCTATCTAATCTCCTTGCCAAGAAAATAGGCCACTTCACCTAATTCTGCCATTTCAAAGACCCTCATCATCCCCTTTTTGAATTGCTCAATAAGTATTACATCACTTCCTATCACCAAGAGATCATCCACGAATAAAGAAACAATTATTATGTAAATTTTATAATATCTAACATAGAGAGTGGATTTACTCTGACTTTTTACAAAGCCTAAACTTAGTAAGTGCTCAGCAATTCTACTGTACCAGGCCCTTGGTGTTTATTTCAAGCTATATAGAGCCTTTTTGAGCAGATGGACTTATCTTTCTACTTTTTCACTATAAAACTTTCAAGCTGCTTAACATAAATCTCCTCTTGCAGATAGTAATTAAGAAAAAATTATTTAACATTAAGCTGAAACACCTTTCATCCATACTGAGCAGCCAATACAAGCAGCATTCTGATAGTGTCCAATCATGCAATAGGAGCAAATGTCTTCGAGAAATCTATACCAAACACCTGAGCAAAACCCTTCACCACAAGTTTGACTTTATGCTTGTTGATGGAGCGATCAACATTCAGTTCTGTTCTGAACACCAAGCCTTTCAACAAGCTCCTAAGTCTGGTTTTTCTTAATCATATTTGACAGAGGTCCACACAGATTAGTATAAATCAATGATAACTTCTGTGATGCTCTTCAGACTGTTTGTGAAAATGACAATCTTGTTTGCTTGTCATACTGACATGCCTCGCAGCTTGGTAAATGCTCTTCTAATAAAGGTATAAGCCATTAAGCCCTTCACCAGCTCCTGCCTTTGCATATTCAGAACTATAACATGGTGAAAGTGACCTAGTCTCTTGTGCCAGGTCTCAGCATTATTAACAGTAATGGGATAAGTTGCTTGCTTCTTCGTCAATGAATCCAAAAAGAAACTCGTGCTTCTCATTTTGATTCTGAATACTTTCCAATCACTTATATCTTTGATTAGGCACTACTTGTCTTTAAAGATCACCTTGAAGCCCCTTTTAAGCAATTGTTCCACACTTAACAAATTTTAATCAATTTCAGATGTAAACAAAACATTAGAAATTAGCTTTATACCTGTGCAACTTTCAATAGCTACAGTTCCTTTTTCCTTGACTGCACTTTGTTCTCTTTTCCTTGACTATAATGTGTTGACCATTGTCAATTCTGACTTTTGAAACCACTGACCTACCAAGTTCCTTGAAAAGTTCTTGATCATAGGTCATGTGATTGGTGCAGTCACTGTCTATGAGCCTTTTCTTAGTCGAACTACTGCTGGCAAAACAAGAAGCTATAAACAGTTGCTCTACCTCTTTTTGTTGGGCTACAACTTAAGCTTTATTTTGTTGTTGAAGGTTCTCCTGTAGATCTTATAATGATGTCCCTTTTTGTTGCATTTGTTGTACTTCACATTTGGCCTACTACAGCACTTGAAAGGAGGATACCCTTTCTCAATGCTGACAAGGAGGACATTTCTTATTGTTATTGCCACTACTGCTGCTATTATTAATATCAGCCTTATTTGCATCAGCATTTTTCTATTTTTCAAACTTTTTCTTTCCTTTGTTGCTTTGATTGATTTGGAGATTAGCTTGCAAGGCTCTTTCCACTGAACCTTCTTGCCTCATTAGCCTTTTTTGCTTTTATGCCTGTAGTGAATTTAACAATTCTGCCAAGGTGATACTTGACAAATCTTTAGAATTCTCCAATGAGGAAATTGTTGCCTCAAATTTTTCAAGAATTACAACAAGAACTTTCTGAACAATTCTTGAGTCAGAAAATTCAGTACCAAGCAATATTATCCTGTTGATAATGCTCAAAATTCTATCAGAGTACTCCTTGATTGTCTATGACTCCTTCATTCTTTGCATCTCAAACTCCCTTATGGAGTTTAGCACTTGCATCCCACTGATTTTCTCATCACCTTCATAATTTTTCTTAAAAAAATCCCAAATGGCCTTTGCTAATTTTAAGGTCATGATCCTGTTAAAAATTATTGGTAAGACAGCTGCAAACAGAAATCTTTTTGCCTTGACTTCCTTTGCTTCCTTTCTTTGTGATTCTTGATTTGAGTAAATGTTGGATTGTTAGGAAAGGTAGGAACTTTATAGTTCTCTTTAACAGCCTCCTCAAATATCACTAGAATCCAAGTAGGCCTCCATTCTCACTGTCCAGATCTAAAATTTTTTACCACCAAAAATAGTCGGAGCTACTGTTGTGAATGATGAGTCTGAATCCATTTGTTGATTGATTTCAATAAGGTGTTTAGGTTATTTTGATAGGAGGTTCACTCACAAGTTCTTTAAGAAGAAACCTTTGATACCAACTGTCGGGCTTTACTCACAAAGACAATAACAGAAGCAATAAAAGTGCAAAAAACCGATGTTGAAGAAAGCTTTGAATAGACTGTAAATCTAATCTATTTTATTGAACCAAATAACTGTTTAAATATAGAAATTGAGAGACAATTGTTGCTCACTAAGCCACTAACCAGTAGATCATCCTAAGTCACTGCAACTAACTAAGATGTACTCCTAACTTGCTATAATTTACAACGTGTAACTGAAAAACCAGATTGCTTGTTAAATATTTCAAAAGCAGCTCCCTCAGCATCTGGCTCCGATGTCTAGATATTTTAGATTCCTTCACCATCCATCTTCTGCTGTGTTTCTATGATGAACTATTGTTTCAATTAGCAACTGACACATGTCTTAATTGCCCCTTATTCCGCATCAAACAGCCTAATTGTAATAGTGTCAAAGAAGCCATTTCACTAATTTGAGAGGAAAGTGTGCCTCTGGAAAACAGCACCTTTCCCACGAATTTATACTGAATCTGCTTCCTCGTTAGCTTTTCATCCCTGTCAATTTCCCCAACTCATCTTGGGCCCTTGAATGAAAGACATTATGCAGGCTACGGTGCCATTAATCATATTACCCAAAGACAACAAATGTTGGATCTTATCAAATTTTGTTGCAGTCCATTCCCTTCCAATCCTCCGTACAACTTCTTGTCACATCGTAAAGCTGATTACTTTTTTCGGGAATCTTTGTGTACTACTGCTGTAGTTGAATTCATAACACCTCAGTAAATGGATTTTGCTTTATCTGGGTGTTTCTATTTCATTTTTAGCGTAAACACCTTCATAGACATATCCATCTATCACATGGGTACGAGAGGAAATCATGTAAGCAGCTAGTTTTACCCAGCAGGTTAAGGGCAGTGCCTTCCATGTACCGAAGCACTCTTCTTACTCTTTACGAGGTCTTCCACATTCACTAAAGTGAGGTCCAAGGCCCCCTTTAAGTCTATAACTTACATCTTGTGCTCCCTATAATCCAATCCTTACCGTCACATCTACATAAATTATTCTGATCTGAAAATCAATAATGCAGCACTGCCAACTGACCATCACATGCCTGTAAGGAGTACTCTCCGACAAGCATATCTACAGGCCTGGCAATATCTCATTTGTTTAAGCACACTACTGAAACCTACCGCTTAATTTATACTCGACATCATTAGGGCTCCCAATGATCTCTAAGCTATTAGGGGAACTTTGCTCATAAACAATCCTTCCTCCAACAGACCAAATCCTCGCCTCCAGGTGCGTTAATAAGTTGACAGAATATTTTACTCAGGCAGCCATGAAATGATATAAAAGCAAAGTCAGTTAACAGATTACTTGGATAAGAGGGGTCTTCCACCATACAATACAAACACACATTAAACAGAGATTAACAAACAACGCACTTTACAAACTAAAGTCCTGTGTGGAAACAGGAAACGGTCCAGACTCTTGACACGGAATTGCAGTTGCACTCCCAAATACATAAGGTCTTTGGAGTCTTATAATTTTAACAGACTAAACAGATTAGAATTTTCTCGGGACAGAACCGTAAACATACTGAGATAAAAACTGCAGGTACTCATGATCTTCCCATCCCACCTGAAATCTGGGTCCTTAGCTCCCCTACTAATTTCCCAAATTCCAACCCTGAAAGACTTGCTGGATGGATAGCAAAAATCATGTGTTACTGCTGGCTAATTCCTGTTTTTGCATTTCTCCATGGCTCTTGGGGCTGCATAAAAAATAATGCTATGGAAATTAGCTCGAGAAAAGAAATTTTATACAAAATGTTGGTCCTATGGATCAACACTTAAAAGTCATTAACAAGAATCACACCAAATTAAAAGAAGCAAACATAGAACTAGGCTCATCAGCTGGCAGACCTAGAATCAACTTGAAAAACTTTGATCCTCCAAACAAATTTTTTAGGACATCAAGAATTGAATGTTGTTAGATAAATAACCAAGGAAGCTTGGCATGCACTGGTGGAGAAAATCGCACAAAAAAGAATTGGGTGGGTTTGCATAGCACAAAATTTCAGAATATTTGATGGATAACTTCCTGTGGGCAAAAATTCTATTTCTAACATTTTATATGTATATACCAGCATTATATTAAGCAAAAATTGATCTTCAAAAGTCAATACAAGGTGCACAAGGAATCACATCTTTGAAAGTTATTATCTATCATATTGATTTCAACCGTATGGATAACATTGTGGAATCACATACAATCAACAGCTCTAGTATTCATGCTACCACAGGTAACAATAGCAATTTGTAAATGATTAATTTAGTTGCATTAAAATCCCTTGGGGTCGTTAGTTCCACATCTTAATGTGGCACCATAAGTCTTAATTTTCTAGCATTAATTTCAATGTACTGAAAGCATAGCGTTTAATGCCGAAATTATGGGGCCAAAATGGATAGTGCATAATTAGTCTTGTCTCAGGACCCCTAGTCCCCACCGGATCAAAACAATAGGTACATACAGCTACATGTACATCTAAAATACCAACAGAAGACTGAACAACCTAAGGCCTGTCATCTCCTGTCCTAGATATACCACAACTTCAGATACAAAACATAAGACCAGACCATATTGTTGAATTAGATCCACAACAAACCATATGGATTTATAGGATGATGAGGCTAAGTATCATAACTTTTCTATTGATCTGTGGTTTTTTCCTTTTTTGTTCCATGGAGGAGAAATTTTTTAGTAGATGAGGTTTGGAAAAATAAAAATCATCAGAGAAGTATTTCTTGCTGCTTATTTGATTCATCATGGGCAAGTCCTACTGCCTCAAATCATGAATGGCTCATATAATTCTCAAGAGCACAAAAACAGCTCACTGGTTCTATAATCTATTACTTAAAAAAGTAACAAAATTGGCTTTAAGATACACAACATACGCACCTAGGCCAATGGCATCAGAGCTCTTCATGATCCTCAGCCTCTTGCATGTTTCAATAAACATCCTGAGCAAGTAGATAGATAGAATTAGAATGTAGGTTTATCCTGAAATTTACGTATGAATAATTCCTGCTATCACATGATCACAAATTTTACAAGTTAGCTATAAAAATACCACTTTGACAGAAGAACACTGAAATAAGTAGTAATCTAATTTCATTCTTCAGTATATAACTCATTCCAATTTTTGCAAATATAAAGAGAAGTTGAAATGGAACCCCAGTTTACGGCCATGAATGTAGATCATGGAAGATTGATTGAAGTCAATTAGCAATCATTACTCACTATAGTCCCCAGTTGTTCCCTGATTTAATTTCGAAATTGAAGTGCAACAGGGGGCATGGCAAAGGAATAAACTGTGTTGGGCCAAGGTCCATCGCAACTAGGCAAATGTTTTTCAATAAACCCTCATGCACACATGGCAGTGGTGGGGGTGAGGGCGGTTTGGGTGGCTGTACAGAATAGAGCTGCTGTTTCCTTGAACTAAATCCCAGCCACTTCCAAGAGCTATTAAATATGGAACACCAGTTCAGTCTTGCTCATAGAAAAATAATATGGTTAATGACTTAACTTTTCAGATGGTATTGAAGTAAACAACAAGAACCAATCTAAACAGAGGCAAACAAGTAAAGTCAGTCAGCACTTACACCCAGGGAACGTCGCCAACAAGCATCCAGTCTCCATCCTTATCCTCGTAAGTGAGAACATATTCTGAGCCATGCAGCAGATCCTTCAGCTTGCTCTCGCTGAGCATTTCCCTTCCTGGAGCTCCATGAGATCCATATTGACCTGGCATCATAACAGATTAACAGTAACTTGATCCATAAAAACCAGTTCAGCACATATCATTATAACAACGTCCACCAACTACATTCTCCATATCAAATCATAACTTTCTTTTGCTCACCTATGGTGAAACAGCTGAACATCTTCTCAAGTGCAGAAGACAGTTCCTGATACGCAGAGTAGTTTCTCAAGTCTACTTTTCTCAAATAAGGAGCACCATCCATGCTGACCTTGATAAATAAAGCACAAGGCCCTGCTTTACCATCTACTTCTTCTGTGTTCTTTGAGGTGGTGGCGAGGGAATTCTTCCTAAATGATTTGATGGGTGGCCAACCCACAACTTGTGCCCTGCCAAAGAAGGGAGTTCAGAGATCATTCTCAATGTCTTGCAGTTAAACTTGACACAAAAATACTCCATACTTACTTTGGAGCAGGTGCACTGTTATTCGTGGAACTGCTACGTAGTGGTCTGGTCTCATTTGCTGCATGAGGCCTCTCTTGTACTACCTGTGGGACTCCTATCTCTTTCGATTTAGCTTGTTGAACTCCAAGGTTCTCTAACATGCCAGGTTTCAATCCCATGTTCGGAGAAGGCCTGGGTGAGAGCATGGCATTTACCTCTGAATTAGACAGAAACTTGCCCTGCACCACAGATGAGTACTTTCCAAGTTAGACTTGTCAGTAAATATCATTCTGTTCCCTTCAGTAAATAAGAAGCCAGTTGTTTTTACCTCTGAAAACCCATCCATAGCATCAGAGAACCCTCTTTTGTTACCCGAAACGACATTTTTCTGTGTCGAGGAGTAGTGACCATCTTTTGCAGGATGCAAAGGGAAGAAGGGCTTCTCGTCAAGTTGTGTAGAGCTCAACAGGGAAAGCTCTGAATTCCTTTCTGGAGATTGAGACCCAGGAAGCCCAAGCCGCAATTCAGTAGCCTTCAGATTCAAATTAGTCTTCCTCTCGTCAGATGCAGCAGAGACTGTGGAGCTGTCCACAGAGGAACAATCAGACAAACCCATATAGTTACGCTCTCTTAATTCCAAACCGTTCTGGCATACACTTTCTGCAGAGGCCGGAGAAGCCAGTAGAGTGACATTACTTTGGCCCTCCTCCTCCACAACACCAAGTAGTGGTGGAGACATCAGAATTAAGAATACAAACACTCAGAATTGCTTTTGTTACCTGCTCAATTTCACAGCACAAAAAATTCATTAATAAACACAAATGTTTGGATATCCATCAAAGCTAATCATATATGCGAAAAGAAAACCCCAATTTTTTTTTAATAACAAACAAGAAAGTAAATAGCAACAAATTCAACAAACACGTGTGTGGCTGATTAACGATGAAATTCCCTGATTCAATCAAGAATCCAATGGATCATAAATTATTCTTGGTCAAAGGGCCATACTAAAAGCAACAAGCACAAATAAAAACACAAAATTTGCAAAGATTAGCTAAATTAATAAAACCCCAGTGAAGCTTATGGTCAAAGCAATTTTTGCCATTTTTTAAAAACACATCAAGATCTAAACACAATTTTTTTAAAATAAAAAAAGGAGCGCGCAAATAAGTATCTATTTACAGTTAAAATGCTATTTAGTGTGAAAAAAATATAATTAATTAACAAAAGAACTAAAAATACAAACGGAGCTTAAAAAAAATTACAGCGAGTTATAAAGGGAAACAAAAATTTAAAAAGAAAAAGCTGCATCTATTTACAACAAAAGAGATCTAATCTGACCGTTGATCAATAATCTATTTTTCAAATGAATAATTTCCTGGAGGAAAGAAAAAAAGGAATAAAACACATTTTTAACGAATTTGAACTTTAAATAACTGCAGTCAAGTAAAAGTAGATGCATGCTAGATAAACCACGCCACCGATACCTGACGAATTTTTCAAAGCAAGAACGAAAAGGAAAGAAAAATCGAGCTCCAAATACTTGCTCGGACGCCGAGAAAGCGTGGAAAAAAAATAGACACGGAAGTTGTAAGCTGCGGAACAACAATCTCCACGCAACTATTGAGCTTAAAAATCTACTCTAAGGCTTAGGTTTTCCTTGTACGGAAACTAAAAACAAGAAATAGATAGCAGCATTTCTTTCGGTAACAAACAAGCAGTGTCCGGCAAAAACATAAAAATAAGACTGAAAATAAATCAAAGGAAAATGAAGGCGTGCAGATAGAAAATTAAAAAAAAAAAAATCAGAAACGGATCAAGAAAATGCATTGAGTAAGTAGTTTACCTGACTTAGATTTGCGGATTTTGTAGCTGGAGAAGAGAAGCAAAGAACTGAATTGTGAGGGTTTGGTTTTGTTTCGTTTTAGAAGTAGAGAGAGAAACAGCAGAAAGAGAGAGAGTTAAGTACCCTCCATTTTGCCATAAAGTAACAAAAGCTTATTTGCCGTCTGGTGTGAAACTCCATGCATTAAAATAAGCACCTTTTATTTATTTATTTTTATTAAAAGCAAAAACTAAAACTAAATGTCTTTTTTTAAAAAAAAAAAACACCATTCCTTTTCCCCTTTTTTTTCCCCGCTTTTCTTTCTCTTTTTTAATTGAATAACAAAATTGTTTATTATGAATAGAATAAGCCGCCGAACACTGAACTAGAGAGAATGCGTGTATATTAGGGGCTGGTGATTATAGATGATTGAATGGAAGCCGTTGATCCATTCCAGGGTAGATTGGGGATTTTGTTGCGAGTGGATGGAATTCGAAAGTAGATACTGTGAGGGTTTTCTCTTTTTAAAATGTTGATCTACTCCTCCTCCTTTTTATTAAGTTGGCAAGACCATTTAGTTTCTGGAGAAAAGTTAAAAATCCAATGCATTAATTGAGCATTGTATTTACATGATGCATGCAATTTTTTTTAACAAGGATAAAATTAACAAATAATTTGATAAGTTATGATGAGTATTTTTTGTCCTTGAAAAATGAAATTATGCTCATGAAAATATGTAAAAACTTAATAGATTTAAACGTTATATATTAAGATGTGATGTTTTTTAAATGATTAAATTACAAAAAAAAATATTGGATTAAGCAGAGTATGAAAATTCTTTCTGTTAGATTTAAATGGATTGTAGATAAAAATGGGAGTGTTTGGATTTTGTTACGTTTATATTATTATTATTATTATTTTTTATAGAGAGAGAGTGCGTGTGTGTGTTTTTATTACGTCCTCTTTGCCTAGGTCTTAGCATTGTAATCTTTATAGTATGATTGTCGATTTTTCTAGTATGGAACTATTCATGACATCTGGATACAATGAAAATAGCAGCAAATATTGTCCAAACACTGTCCCAACTGAAATGTACTTATAGCTGACGGTTTGTTTTTCCTCCTCCATTTGTATTAAATCAGACTCAGAAATACGTTTGAGATTTTACCACCAAGCACATAAATACATAACGGCTAATGCCACTGATATTTTCCATGTTTATAATAAAACCTAGTGTTCCAGGATGGCCGATACGTTGTTGACAAGATTGGACAAATGGATTTAATTCTGATGCGCATATATATTAAAGCTGCTAAAGTGATATTGTCTGGTAAGAGTAAAAAAAAAGAAAAAGAAAAAAACCGTCAACAATATTTTGAAAACAATACTAATACTGTTTCTCGTAATGGAATTTCATTTAGACATGAATGGTTGCTATAATAAAACAGTTAATCCATTTGAAACTGATCGAATAACATTTTTCATGTTGTGGTAAGAAATCTAAACTATGCATTTTAGTAATGTTACTACTATTCAGCACAAACTTCGATCTATATAATAAATGATTTTATTTTTTTAAACAGCTATCAGTATCATGAATGATAATTACAGAGAAAAATTCAACTGAAATACATTATAAACAGCCTTTGGAAGTTGCTCAGTCTTGTTTACTATTTGCAAGCAATTAGGAAGATTGATCACAAATTTGATTTTAGGGTGAAAAACTTTTAAGACAACGGGCCATGCCCATCATGTCATATGCAGCAGGTACCGATTTTGATGCCGATCATCGTTCATCATGGTGGCAAATTTGTCTTTTGACAGTCGTCTTATCAATCACAAACTTAGCTAGTTACGAGTTAGGACGTGTCCAAATCGCTGCCCTTCAGTGTCGTTTTCCCAACTAAGTTTTTAAAGATAATCCGATAAGCCTCGCAAATGTCTGAAGCTTTTGGGGCAATGGATTCCCTGTTCTCTCATGTGAAATGTGGATTCCCGCATAAAGACCACTTTACCCCCAATCAAAACTTGGTTTGACTTTATCCAAACGTAATGGGCAAATACTCTACATAATCATGATGCTTTCCCATTTCCAAATACAAACAGCCAGCTAGCCAATTTTCTTTCTACACTGCATACACACCTCTGTAAAGAAAGATGCATAGCATCTTTGAAGTGATTATGATTCATGAGAAGCAAGGGTTAACAAGTCTTGTTTTGCTAAATATAACAAATTCAACCACCGCACTGATCACTGCTCATTCTAATCTAGCAAACGAGAGATTCCTTATCGTTTACATGCAAATTACTTATTTAATATATATCATAAATACCCTCCCCAATTCACATGAGATCCAACCAGCTCCTATCACGCATGCTAGTAGGCCGTAAAAATGGGTCCATACGAGGGCAAATATGAATTGCTATTACTGGCATTGTTATTGATGCCCTCAAGAAGGTGTTTTGGCAATAATGAAAGGAATAGCATATAATGCAAAAATCAAGATTTGGTTAGAGTGGGACGTGGATTTGTTATTATACGTTATCATATAATATCAAAATTCAGAATGAATAGACCGTAAAAAGGCAAATTTGTTGTAAATAGAAAAAAATTAGACGCGTTTGTACTTAAAAGAGAAGAGCAGTGGCTGAGGTTGAGAAAATGAGAGAGAGTGGAGGGCAAAGATGGGAATGAAAGGTAGGGAATAGAGTGAATGTTACGTAGAAAAAGAACGCATTTAGTGGAGGGGTGAGGTAGAGAGGGGACAGAGAAAAACAGGGTGAAGCGAAATGATGTGTTGGGGGACAAGAAAGCGGCTTTTAATTTTGGATTGCCGGGTACAGAACGCGACATATAACTTCCTTCACTACCTCCTTCCCCATTTTCTCTTCACCAATCGCATCTACTTTTGCGTGCTTTTCACCTCCCAAATAAATAATCAATTTCTTCCCCTCGCGTTCTGCATTCCCCGTTGTTTATTATGAGAACCCAGCAAGCAAGAAAGCATGTCACGCTCTCAAATGTAATTTTAAATGGGCCAAATCCCAATTGAGTATAATTCAATCCCTAAAATTGAAGTATTTTAATGCCAATTCTTGGAAAAGGGGAAAAGAAAAAAGAAGCAAGAATTAAGATTTAAAGCCAATTTCTTTTTTTTCCTTTCTTTTTAATGATTTAGAGACATCTTTCTATCAATTTTTTTTTTAAATGGATTAGATCTACTTTTTTATTTTTTATTAAAGACGTATTGTCTATTCAAAATAAGAATTCACTATAATTCTATTTTTTCACATCTTTATTTGAGGTTTGAAATCATGTTGATTAAGGAAAAAACATTTATTTCAACTACTTAATTATTAGACCAACCTCTCATGTTACTCCTTTTTTTTTTTTTTTTGAATGAAAACAACTATGTTTAAACTAGTTTTCGCTAACACATTCATTGTGAATTCTTTCTAGGTTTTTATCGGATTTAAATTCAAAACAGATGATAATAAAAATATCAGTCTATTTGGAAAAAAGGTTATGGTTTTTAATTGTGATTTTTGCTATAACTTAGCTGTAGCTGTGATAATGATAATTTTTTTATAGCATGTGGTGTTAAATGATTTTATTTTATATAAGATTTAATAGTCCTTAAGATTCATTTTATTACTTCTGACTTTTGTGGTTTTTAAATAGTTTTTAAAATTCATGGAACGTTTTTTTCAATGACTTTTGAAAGGAAAAAAAAAATCCTTAAAGCTAAAAGCTAGTAGTTCCCAAAAACACACTAAATCCATTGATAATCCTAATTAGTCAAAATTCATGCTTTCTATGCAATACCAGATTAGCATTCTTGGAAGCTTGAAAAACAAGTACATACCCCTTAAGCTTCATCTTAGGAGCTATCAGGCTTGTATTGTTGCATACG